TCCAAAATTGAAAATTGAGTCTGAAAAAAGACTAAAACATTTAAATCATTTTAAATGTATACATAATTGTATCGTTCACACCTAAACCATTTCATTTCCTTTCCCGTTTCCGTTTCCGTTTCCGTTTACTTCTACTTCTACTTCTCTATCAATCTCGATTGCCCACTATTTTTCTTCTTCCCAATACCAAATTTTGCAAGGAACTCCACACCCCAATCCCAAACATGCAACCCAACATATGTACCAATTCCACCAATCAACCCATAAGCAATTGAATAGGTCAAAGGCATCAACATCAATGTTATAAAGGCAGGGATAGCTTGCCTCATATCATTCCATTCAATCTCCACCACTGATCTCATTATCAACACTGCCACCAATATCAATAGCGGTCCTACCGCCCACGCCGGTATCAATGCCAACAACGGTGTAAAAAAGAATGTCAGGAAGAAATGTCCTACCACTGTTAACGCGGTCAACCTTGTTTGTCCACCCTCTTTGATCCCAGTCGATGATTCAATAAACGTCATTACAAGTGACACACCGAGACATGCCCCCACGACAATTGACATGATATCCAACATGAAAGCGAAATATTGACCCTCAAAATCACCAGTTTGATCAGTAAATCCAGCAAATCTAGCCATTGAATATAATGTCCCTGTTGTATCCAATATGTCAACATGCAAAACTTGAGCCTCCCAAAAATAGCCTTTGCCTATGCTTTTAAAACTTAGTGCCCCACTGCATAAGATTTTAACCTGGTTGCTTTTGCATTTAGAAAAGCTGATTCGGATCAACATAGTGAGGCTGAAGTGCAGAGTGCACCTGCAGCCAAAGCATCTTCTCCTAAGTTATCTATTTCAACTGTGAAGCCTCGTCTTGGGGCTATCCTAGATGGACTCTGGCTTATACTCTCATCAACTTATCTGTTGTATGTGTCTTTATTCCTGGGGCTGAGTGCAGTTGTCTCCTCATTCTTCTATTTTCAGGTAAAGTAGCCCTGCTCTCAGAAGTGTATTTAGGGTTTTTTAAACGGCGTCTGACTTGTATTGTATTTTTGACTGAAAGTTATTGAAGATCATTTATATTATATCAAGCACTACCTTATTTGTTTTTAGTTCAAATTTTGTCACTGTATTACTGGTTAACAATTAAAGATTGGCATATTGAATTGAGATTAATGTGCTTTGATTACTCATGGTTGCTCCAGATTTTTGGTGATTGTCTTTCCTTTTATTTTTTTTTCTCTTTCTCTTGTTGAAATGCATTTTGTTGTATTATTTATACCATATCCGAATCTTACTGGTCCACCATTCTTTGCTGAATTGCAGAAAGTGACTGTTATTGCCATGACTGTTGCAAGCTCTGTTGGTAGAAGAAGATTGTTTGCCCAGATAAACAGCTTCATTGTTGTTATTATTCTTGCTGGACAACTAACTTTAACAGTATGCTAACTCTATGGTTAGGTTCTGTGCTTTAATGTATTTGATTTTATACTTGGCTGTTCCAATAAATTTCTTCAAGGATGTGTTTATAGTTGGCAGAATAATTATATGTCCGCTCTCTCTTCCTTCCTCCTTTCCTAGTCGAGAGAAAAGAAAAAAGTTTGTTCCACAGTTGATGAGCTAGATATTATGATCATATGAAATTTAGTATTAGCCTAGATAAAGAAGGTTTGTGGCATATTCTATTTTTGCAAAACAACTTCTTGAAATCTTGCATAAAATAAACCTCCCAATATGGATAATTCAAATCCTTAATGGGGGTTAGAGGTTGTCACTTATTGGGGATGCTGCTAGATAACATTGTTTCGTAGTATTATACCTAGACAATGGGAAGTGTACAATGACAAGTATTATCTTGAGTCAGGCCAAAGGAAAAAGTATGATAATGATTCAAATATATAAATTCAATTAACTTATTATGTTTAAAAAGTTATATAATCCATATTTTATTTCTCTAATTTTAATATATAGCTTCACTTTAGTTGAGGTGTGTACAAACTTACCTGAACACCTCAGATTACCAAAATAAATAAATAAATGCTTTTGTAAACATATTATAATAGCCTTAACAAATTTGACTCCCTCTTCCCATTTCCATTTTCCAATATAATATAAAACAACAATGTTTTATTGAGCCACCGATTTGAACAAATCCTTTAAGCATGTGCCTAATGCATAATCGAGGAAAGCTTAACTCAAAACAATAATATCATTATTATAAAAGCTTGATAAATTTATCATAAACCCTTTTCCAAAGGTAGTCATGTTATTAAGAACAATCCCAAATTTCAAATTTCAAATCTCAAACACATGTAAATAAAATGATAAAATAAAAAGATCAATACAATATTGTACGATGAGTATCATTAATATGTCTTAAAACTTATACATAGCCGATTCACCAACCCGAAACTTTGACTCACAACGCCACCATCCATATAAAGTTGCCACCATCAACCCTAAACCTACATTTCATGCGGTCAGCTTTATTAATAAATAAAGGATATCAAGTTATATTTTCACACGAGGAAGATCGGAGCAAGAGGCCTGTTACGTGGACGAACGGAGGCCGTCCACCAGGGAAATAATGATCCAATCGTATCCAAGAGAATTTTGCCATATTTACCTGTTTTGAAACTATTTGCTCCACGGATCGTTTATCATGCAACGCCCGTCGCGCGGATAATCCGGCGGAGTTGATGTTGGCGTTGTAGATGGGGGTGGAAAAGCATTATGAAAATGGTTAAGGGCATCCTTCGAGACAGTTCCACTCCTCCCTTGAGCACCATTACCAGATGAATGATTTCCATCGTAACCAGCCAACATAGCTTTATTTGCCGATGGCCCTTCTTTCTTAACGTCGGCAGATTGAGATGGTGGTGGAAAGCTAGGGTTTTTGGTTGACATAGTAGCGAATGGTAAATAGAAAAATGGATTCGACAGTAAAAATAATAGAAAATTCTTTGGCTAACACAAATTCTTGCGTATGGTAGGTTCACATTTATAGATGAAATTATTACTGTAGTTATTGCTTTGAAACTAGAAAGATTAAAAAAGACATATGAAATAATAAAAAAAGATTAGAATTATTTTCAGGATGCTGACAAAGCAACTACGTTTTATGTTATTAACACATTAAACTGTATGGATTACTTTAGTAAGCTTTTAGTGTTACGTTCACATAGCTTTAGTTTTGCTTTTGCATGCATGCGGGTTTGTCCCTTTGTTTACGAGAATGGATGAAAGCTTCCAGACGACTCTTACAGATCCCCTAAGGGGCACATCATAATTATATCATATATCATTCCATTAAGTCTACCAATAAAAATTCAATCTTAAAAAAATTAGTAATCAAGCAGGTTTACTCAAGAACATTTGTGACTCTAGGCAAAAATTACTTTGGGGTCTTCTAATAATATAAGCATATATTAAAACAAATTATTTCAAAATTATTTTTCTTGTATTTTAAGATACAAAATCACTAATTAAATTTTTGTATTCAAGTTTAGAAACCAAATCTCTTTCAATTGATAATATAGTCAAATTACTTAATCTTTCTTATGACATGGTTGAACACAAATAAGATTTTGCTAACTTTAATTTTGAAAATAGGTGATTTCCAATGCCAAGATTGACTGGAAAAAGCTTGAGAAGCCGCAGCCCAAAAAGTACCGGTGGCCGACGAATAGTAGAGTAAATGGGTGAGGTATGATAAGGGTTTTGGTGAGAGAGCTGACGGGAGGAAGATGGTGGTGTCGGGGAAGGCTAACGACACCAGGTATATGTTGAAAGGGCCAAAAATGGCTGTCGCGCATGGTGGAGCTGGGTTGCGAGAATCGGTAGATTTCGGCGAAATCGAGGGTTATCTAGGTTAGGAAAGCACTTGAAAAATGATGATTTCTATTGATTTTGGTGAGAAAATCGATCGGAATTAGCTTCAAACGGTTGGCGGCGGCACTATAGCGGTGTAGAATGGTGAAGGTGATTTATGCCGATTTTTGAGATTGAATTAGTGGTGAGAAATTTGAGATATATAAATGACAATTTTAGCATTTTATTGTTAAAAGATACGAAATGTGTTAATTTGGGAGTGTGAATCTGGAATATATGAAACCAAAGGCATAAACTTATCATTTTGTCAAACCTTTTATGAGAACATGTCATTTGCTCGAAACTATATAACAGTGGTGTTTTTATAAATATATGTAAAAAAACTTGTAACAAATTTGGACCTGTTTGGCCTTTTTTGGGAGGTCTAGCCTGGATAAAAAGTTATATACTAACAATATGTTTGTAAATATATTTATAACAAATTTGGGATTTTCTTTTACACTTTTTTGGGAGCCCTAGGCAGGTGCCATGCTTAAGCCGGCCGAGCACCATTAGACCTTCTACAAATCAATCTGACAAGCAGATTATATTTGACTTTTAGCAAAGTCCATTAGCAAAATCAATGAAGTGATACGATGCAGAAAGGAAAGCAGAAAGCCGACTTCAGCTAACGTTTTATATATCGAAAGGTAAAAGATACAATAAGGTAATTTGAAATTGAAGCTTATTATGTGGCTATATATGTTTGATTTATATATTCACAGTTCCTCTTGGATTGGCCAGAGCTACTCTTAGCTCTAGCTATTCTCTGGTTTGAGCACTGCTATGAAACTGCTTCTCCACTTCCCTCTCAGCCCCGAGCATCATTATGATATAACAATGAAGCCTGTCAAGCATGCAAATTACTTCAAAACAATAACATAAGCTCCCATTATACAACACTAACAAAAAGAACTTCGGATATCCTTTCAATCACATAAAAGTTTTTTGCCTAAATGTGGTCCAAAGTGAACGGCATGAATATTTTATTGCTTATTAAGGATCTAGTGATCAAGATTGAAGCTGTCTGGATAACCATGACTTATCGCCTAGCTACATAAACAACTCATTGTTGGGAATTGACTAATTAGTTTTTGAATGGTAAGATGTACTATTCACTGAAGAGATCCACATATTGGGAGCAAAGCACCACGTCTTGGATGAATTCTAGGACGGAGATAATTACCTAAATGCTCAAGTTCCACGGAGGGAACGGACACGCGCGCTCTTGAATCAGTTTCCTCTCCCAGTCTGCTATGTCCTCAAAAGCGTATTCTGGAAGACTCTCAAAGGGCTCCTTCCATGGGTCGTTTTTAGCCAGATCATAAGTAGCTCCACGTATTGCTTTTTTGTTAGGTCCACAAGGTCTCTTTGAAGTTAGCGTATCATATGCTGTATTCAGCTGTCAAGAGACCATAGCCAAAGTCATAATCAGGCAGGAGAAGGAAAGCATAGCCATAGCTTACGAATTATTGAGCCGCATAACTTAAAAGGAACAGTGGAAGACTCATTCTCTAAAGTCTAACCTGACGAATGGAATTTAAAGCAGTACTAATTGCTTGAAATATAAGGCAAGATATATAAGGCAAGGATGGAATCAAGAACTAACATTCATGCCACAGAACCAGAACATGTAAGCAATTGCAACAGCTGGAGCCCTTCCCAATCCAGCAGTACAATGCACATATGCTTTTCCTTTCCCCTCAGAAATGGCCCATTCCAATGATGAAACCGCTTTTGGTAATTGACTTCTCAAAGAATCTGGATAACAATCTTTTGCCTACAAAAGCATCTTAAAATCATGGAAAGGAAGATAGCCAGAAACACCAAACTTGAGAATGAAATGGATACAATAAGTATTGACCCTGAACAGTTTCTAGTCCTGAACCTCCAACAGAGATGCATTCACTAACTATCGCAAAATCACTGTTAGAACAAAGAAATTGGACATAACACATGAAACTGTCCAGAAAAGTATAAAATTTGGCTATGCAGAATCTTGTTCCTATGATACCCTTATCCTAATATAAATTGCACCACTTATGTTTAAATTGCATACGCAAACGAAGAAAAATTTGCTTACAGGTCTTCTCATATGACGAATACCAATTGCATGACATCTTTTCACTATAGGCTGAAAATCAATTCCCCAATACTCAATGTCCTTGTCCTGCTGCAAGTTTAGTATGTAGGCAACATTCTCTCCCTTTCTCAGATGATCAATATCTTCAGGTTTCTGGGGCTGAGAACCCACGATCAAATTATCAGTTATATGTAAAAACTTAATAGCAATTTCATCAATGGTAAAGAAACAATAATATAATTATATTTCTACACCCTAAATTGCATAAACATAAATCCTAATATCTGAAACTTAATGTATTTTCACTAGTTAAGAAAAGAGTATTACATATTTAAATCCATGAGAAATCCTGAAAGAAAGCACTGTATCTCCCCCTTTATTCCTTTACTAGTGGTTTCTTCTTTTGATAAATAATGTAATGAATAATTAGAAATAGAGAGAGAAGATCCCTTTTACATGTAGTAGTTTTAACATCTCCATAACTGCAGTTATTTTATTAACTACGGTCACCTCTCCATCAAAGATAAATGACCATCATGCCCCTTAGCCAATTTAATTATTTCAAAAACAACCTTAATACGTGGACCAACTTATTTAAAATATAAAATACAGTAGAACATTTCTATAGTCATAATGTTGAGATCAACTAAATTTATTACTATGAGTGGGTTATAACTTAATAAAAATATAGTTATAAGAATTATTGTTTTGATTTTTTATTTATAATTCATGTTTTAGTATTATTATGATTTCAATTTATTATTTTAATAACATTAAGATAATATGGAAATGGATATCAAAGAGTCATTGCAAGATTGAGTTATCAGATTCGACAACTTCACTATACTAATCAAATGAATATTAATTTCTTCCTTTATCATTCAAATGAGCAATAAGTTGTATATATTTTAACTGAAGGAGAAATTAATCATTACTGGAATTAAACAAGAAGAGAAAGAAGATGGTTATGAGGATGATAGTACAGAAATACCAAAAATTTCGTGTCAAGAAGCTCTAAACATGCTTGAGAGCTATAAATATTTTGGCTTCAATAAAAGATGTGGTAACAACTCTAAAGCATAAATAATTGTCCCAAACAACTTTAGATAAATATTTTATTTCATCTTAAACCTTTAATATAACATAGCATATATTTTTTTGCAATATTTATATAATTATTACTATGTAGAGGCAAGTTCCTTAAGACGGGACCTAGAAAAATTTTAACTTATTACAATACGAAATTTATTCTTATTTATAACTGGCCTAAGTTGGGATCGAAAGTTTTTAAAACTACATGGAGATTATTCCTATATAGAGTATCACTATAAAGAGATTCTACTGTATTTCTAACATGATCAAGGTGTAGTTCATGCCTGACAACCGCACATGATTGATTAGAATACTTAAGCAGCCGAAATAAATCATCTTGAGGAAAATATAATGCAAGTACTTAATTTAAGAACTCATATATTTATTTTTGTGCCAACAAAACGGCATGCTTGTATGAACATATAACTTCTATAAAAGAAGGAATTTCAACCGCCTCATATTAGATTGTTCAAAAGCCAATAAACTTTAAAAAATGGCACATTTATTATGCATCAAGATGCAAACACTGTTTAGAATTAATTCCCCACTTGTTCCTGCGGCGCCTAAAGCTCCACTGATTAGTGTGAATAGAGCTAGAATTTTCTCTGTGGACCCAAATTTGACATTAAATTAACCTCCCTTTTAGGATTTCCTAAAGGGTCAATTTCAAATAGAAAATTAATTAGCCAACTAATGGGGATCTGATTCTAGAAGCCAAGTCACATTATCCAACACGAACCAATGTCAAAAAGAGCATGCTTTATAGATCCAAAATTCGGACTAATATAATAACATTTTATCCATCATTACTAGAACAAAAAAGCCAGGAAATATCTAAAACATAAAACTAAATTTAATAGAAAAGCAGATACAAAATGAAAAGAAGTAAATTGAACATACCTAGACCATGGTCATATTCATAGGGGGCATTTGGATCATATAATATTTTATTATAAGAGATGTTATATTAATGGAAAAATAAATTGCTTTAAAGATTATTGGGAATGTCTAAAAAATATGTTTAGTTGGTTTGAATAAATTGATGAATAATATATTTGGTTGGAATGATAAATGGGTGGGTATGTTATATAGATTACTAAATTGCCCTCCTTTTTAAATATTAATATAATATTATTTTTTGAATAATTTCTTTTAACCCCCAACATTTGAAATTTTGCTAAAGTACTCTAGCCATATAAAACTTTAATTTGCAGCAAAATCATTATCAGCCACCCCAAGCCACTACCAACAACCAGCCACAACCGTCAACAATCTACGTAATGGTGCATGACTGGCGATATATGGCTGGTCGTTCGTCAACAAAGCCATTTTCGGCCATGGATCACAAATCCATGGCCATTTCATAGCCAAAGACGACCACATATCTGGCTGTGAAAATGACAGATCTTTGGCCGTGAAACGGCCATATTTGTGGCCGTTTCACAACCATATCTATGGCCATTTGATGGCCATGAAACAACCATAGAAACGGTAAGATCTGATCATTTTCGGTCATGAATCACAGATTCATAGCTGGAAAAGGTCTTATTGGCGCACGACATGTTAGATCCTGTCGGTCGTGCGCCATTACGACGACTGACGCCAGCAATCGGTGGTGGTGAGTAAAGGCCGACAGTTGTAATGGGTGGCTAGGGGTATTTTGTTAATTTTAAAACTTTTCTGTGGTTAGGGTGTTTTAGCTAATTTCTCAAATGTTGGGGGGTTGGGGTAATTGTTATTTGATAGAGATTTGAGGGCAATTGTGTCTAAAATGGTATTTAATTAAGAGAAAAATAGGTATAAAAATCATATTACTTGATAAAATTTAATAACACCCTTAGGGGAGGGTATCGGATTACCCCCTACATTACCAACAGTAAACATTATTTGCAACAAAAGATTCTTGTAATTTTTATTACTTGCAAACCAAACATCGAAATCTTGCAAAATAAACGAAAATTACCTATGTTATCTTATATGCCCCTGATCCAAACGCACCTATAAGGGTTTCTCGTTATTTTCTTCATGGCAATGTTGTACTCTTCCATTCTGTTGGTTTTGTTTCTGAATGAGACTTTTGTGCTTTAGGGGTTTCCTCGAGTTTCATTGTCTGATAGTTTGCAAGAAAGTCTGGAAAGCATGAGATTGCATGATGATTTCCTCTTCTCAAACAAAACTTCAGTTTCAAGAGGGCACTTGAAGATTGAAGATAGGAAACTTCTACCATCTACACAACTCATCCTTGTTTCTTCTCTGCCTCCTGTTTTGTTACCAAGGCTGAGTACAGGAATTTATAGCATACTAGTTATTTAACCATAATGCCCTTTGATTTTTAAGGTTAATGGTTAAAGAGAAACAGCTTTTGAATGCAATATTTCTAAAGCCACTCAAAAGTCAATCCCATATCCATGGCAAAGTGATAGGCTTTTGGATTTTTGGCCCAATTAACAAGAATCACCTTGTAATGGGCTGCCAAAAGCCCAAAAGCCACTGCCCTCAGATTTAAGTGGGGTGGAATTAGCAACACTCTTATTTATTCTCCAACTAAAGAGAAAGTTCAATCACCATGTGAAAATGCAACATTTTCAATCTCTTTTTTTGGAACTTAGCATCTTTGCATGTACCTCAACTAATTTCTATAAGTGATTAGTACAATATTCTACCGTCATAATTACCTACTTAAATCTACATTTTCAATCTCATTCAAAGACTTTACTTGAATAATACTCAAAACATTTGAAACCATTCAGGAAATAATAGCCATCTTTAGCTTAATTTTCTGTATGAATTCCATTGTTAAGATGGGATTCTTTCCTTATTGGATTAGTAATCATATAGGCTTTATTTCCATGGCTGATGTATTTGACGCATATATAGTACCCAAATAGAAAAGGGTTACTTTTATTTGTTAAATTTCTTGCATATTTGAACCATTCTTGGAGTGAGACAAGTGCAGAAGAAAAAGGTTAAGACTGAGTTTGTGCAGAAAGAATCTCCATACGTGTCTTTGTAGAAGATGAAGATCCCAAGTTGTACTTAAAATTTAATTAGCATGAGAAAGCTTTAGCTTATACTGATGTTTAAAAAGGCCCCAAAAATGGCCTTTTTACCTGACACGTTCACTATATATGTTCCAAGTCAGATGGACAATAAGGCAAGAATATGTGCTGCTCACAAAGATTAATGGTTATCATGTAACAAAGAGAATAATAATAAGACATGTTTTGGAAGCTAATTAATGGAGCATAAGGGAGCTTCTCAACCCAATCATCTCTCAAAGTTCTCTCATTATGTACTTCTATTTGATTCTCTTTTGGGACCCGAATACCTTTTTCTGGGTGAAAGTTTTTGGTTCTTTTTTCTTTATGTATTCTTATTAGAGTTAAACACGACCAACCTTTTTAAAGTCTGATTTAATAATAAAAATCTCTTTAAGATTTTGAAGCAAGATGTTCGGGCTAACTTGTGTGCACTTTGACTAATCTCTATAGGTGACTAGCACAATCAAGGGCAGGTCTAAAGATTTCTATTAGGTTATGCCAAAATAAAAACTAATTCTACATTAATATTTCTGTTAGGATGGGCCAAAATTCAGAAATTGTACATATTAATATTTTTTTTTTAAATATTGAGGGCTTACCATTAAAGTAGCATCCACCCCTAAGCACATCATCTCAATGTTATGATCACCTGCTTCAATCTTGGGAGTTAGAGGGGTTCGAACCTGGTTTAATTGACACATTATTTATCTTCATTTAATGAGTTAACTTTACTTTTTCATTTTTCGAATCATTTTGTGCCGCACCACTTTATATTCTTTACAAGTAAGAGGATTTCTGTTATTTCAGAAAGTCGATGGTCAATTTTAACTCTTATTTTTGTCAGTTTATCAATTTCTAATTATCCTCTTAAATCTCCACTACCACAACACCAGGACAAATGTGTGGTCTCTACTTCATATCTGTTAATTCCCCACTAACACAATTAAGTGATTTCATAAACACACACACACAGAGATTTGATCGCACCTTGGGACATCAATTCTTAACCTCAAGCTTCTTTAATCTCACATTTAATTATTATAGGATAGATGTATTTATAATCTGTAGCTTGATACTTATCTCATTGACAAATTATATTATATAGTTTTTGTCCTTTATGTTATTTTATATATGTGGGTTTCAAAGATGCATATTTACAATATAAAACTAGCAAAAAGAGCAAGATCCTAAATGTGATCTCACAACACACTTAAGCCGTGGAAATTTTATATAATCAACTAGCTAGCAAGCACAACCATATATTAATATATTATTGGATTATTGGAGTTTCCGTATTATGTTATATTATTGGGGACAATCTTTTTTCTAGATTATTGGATCCAATAGTTTATATCGATATAATGTTACCATGGTATTCTAGGTAGACTTTGAAATCCCTATCCTCAAATTAAGGGTTCATACACATGTAATGTTACGTCAATACTGTAAATGGGTCTTACAGTTTTCATCTTAATTATGTTATGAGGGTAACCTCTCGTCTAAATCATTTACTGTCATCAAAGACAAACATAAATTAACATATTATTGGGTTATTGAAGTCTCCATATTATGTTATATTTCCTAGATTATGTTATACAAGTAATCTCTCATTTAAGTTATTGAATTTAAGAGGTTATACGCCGGTAACGTTACTCTTCATCTTCATATTATGTTATATTATCAAAGTAATCTCTCGTCTAAATCATTGAATTCAATAATTCACAAGAGTATGCGCGTATTATAGGTGGCCCTTGTGTAATAAACAGTAGGACCAGAGGATACCTAATAAAGCCATGGTTTGCCCTACATAAAAATTATGTGGGATGATAATTTAAAGAGGGAAAGCGACAAGCACTAGAAATCAGTGTTTCAATAAGATAAAAGAGTTAATTCCTTGGGGTTCTCATTCATAGATTGATGGCTATGTATCAATAAAACACTTGGCCTTTTAATTATCCAACTAACTTTATGATGCTCTTTCAATTTAATTGTTTTATCTCCTCATTGTGACAAATATACATGATTCTAATTTCATGAACACACTCGAGAATCTCTTATCTTATTCTACCTAATGCCTCATGCCCTTGTGTCTTGGATTATGCTTCTTGCTTCTATGAATTTATACCAATTTATTCATAGTTTTAAAGTAAAACGATTACTTTAATAATATCATCCAACTCCTATTTCAATCCCCTTGTTTGTTTTTATTTGAAAATCAATCACTACCCGTTTGACCCCAAATGGGGTTGTTACATTGTATTCCATCTATAGACATAAACAAAACAAAAAGAAGAAGAAAAATTGGAGAGGTGAAGGTGAAAAACCATTAAATTACATTATAATATTATTATTTACAATCTCTTTTGGGACCCATCTCTTCAAATATCTTCCTTCTAATGAAATCTAAAATTGAAAATTGAGTCTAAAAAAAGACTAAAACGTTTGAATCATTCGAAATGTATACATAATTATATCGTTGACACCTACACCATTTCATTTTCTTTTCCGTTTCCGTTTCCGTTTCCGTTTCCGTTTCCGTTTCCGTTTCCGTTTACTTCTACTTCTACTCCTCTAACAATCTCGATTGCCCCACTATTTTTCTTCTTCCCAATACCAAATTTTGCAAGGAACTCCACACCCCAATCCCAAATATGCAACACAACATATGTACCAATTCCACCAATCAACCCATAAGCAATTGAATAGGTCAAAGGCATCAACATCAATGTTATAAAAGCAGGGATAGCTTGCCTCATATCATTCCATTCAATCTCCACCACTGATCTCATCATCAACACTCCCACCAATATCAACGGTGGTCCTACCGCCCATGCCGGTATTGATGCCAACAACGGTGTAAAAAAGAATGCTAGAAAGAAATATACTGCCACTATTAACGCAGTCAACCCTGTTCGTCCACCTTCTCTGATCCCAGTTGACGATTCAATAAATGTCGTTACAGGTGATGTGCCGAGAAGTGCCCCTACGACAATTGACATGGCATCTGACATGAAAGCGAAATATTGACCCTCAAAATCACCATTTTGATCAGTAAATCCGGCAAATCTAGCCATTGAATATAATGTCCCTGTTGTATCCAATATGTCAACATACAAAAACGTGACTAAAGCCTCCCAAAAATAGCCTTTGCCTATGCTTTTAAAACTTAGTGCCCCAGCTGTACTTTGAATTACATGTATATCAACTACTTTCTTGAAGTACTCATGGGCAATATTTCCAGCCTGTGTGTTAGGAAACGCCGTTACTTCTGTGTTACGGAACCAAGAAACCCCCGTTACAAAAATTATCCCGTAGATCATTGCCCCTTTAATATTTTTCACTAAACAATAAGCAATTATAACAAACCCAACAATGCCAAGCCACAATGTGGGGCTTTCCATTCTGTCCCGGAGGCATAAAATGTCGCCGGAAACTGACCCGCCTTGCATTAAACTGACAGTGCCGTTAGCTGCCGTTATAACGGGAGCCACTGCAGCTCTAGCGGATCTGGGGCAGGCTCCAAGAGTCACCAAAGTTGATGAACTGTACCCGACTAACCCGATTCCTTGGTTATTCTGTAACCCGATAAACGCAAGGAATAGCCCGATGCCGGCTGAGGAACTGATCCGAACCGGTTTTGGAACCAGTTTAGCAAGTTTGGCTCTGAACCCAATTGCAGAAATGAACAAAAAGATTAAACCTTCTATAAAAACAGCTGCTAAGGCACTTTTGTAAGGAACATTACCAGAACCGTGAAACCCGACAACCGTATAAGCAAAATAAGCGTTGGTGCCCATACCTGGAGCCAAGGCCAGTGGCAAATTTGCAAAGGCGCCCATTATTAAACACCCAATAAGAGAAGAAGCCACGGTGGCTACAATAAGATCTTTACGTACTTTATCTAAACATGAAGAGTAACCGGGGTTAACCGGGTTGAACTTGCATGAATCATCGGGTTGAACGACCCGGAGAGAGGACCCGGTGCAGTTGGAGACAGCGATGGAAGGGTCTGAACAAAGCGGTACACAATCAGCAACGGTACAGGTTCCTCCAGAGTCGGCGAGAATGGAAGCATTGACGGCTAAAATGTAAGCCATCGTAAGAAACGTGGCGGTGCCGGCTCGTAACTCGGTGGTGAAAGTAGAGTTGCGTTCATTGAGTTTGAACCGCTTCCCGACTCGACTCTTGGCTACAAAAGCGTTGAGACGTGTTAAAGGCTTCGGCTTTTGTTGGGGCAAGGAGTTACTCTCCATGATAAAGCCACTGAACCAAAACACGTTCAAGCCAGTAGAGAAAACCAAGTTTGGTTTTCTATATACGTATATATTTACCAAGAGAATTAGAGAACCAGAGATATTTATATATATACTTGTATTTATATATAAATATATAAAGAGAGAGTGAGTGATTAGTGGGCAAAGTTTGATTTGTAACTGAAAGGAAAGGAAAGAAGGATAGATTCTCAGGAAAGGTTGGTTTTTCTATTGGAGAAAGTATATAGACTATAGAGAGGTGTCAAATGGGTAATATCGGTTTCTCAGCAGTGTGAAAACTGAGCCTTATTTTGCAACTGATTTTCTTTATTTGCGCTGTCATGTTAGGTATACGTAAGAAATTCATACATTTTTTTCATTACTATGCGTGATGGAGATGATGACAAATGGATATTGACACTTATAAAACATATTAATTTCTTATGTTCGAAAAATTACCCATATAATTATCATATTTTCTTCCCTCAAATCTCTTGTATACATTCAAAGTTTGGACTGTGTTAGTGTTAAAGTCTTACAAGAACACTCTTTATCACTCAAAGACACATTTTCAGGATAAAATTGTACAGACACTAGGTCCCAAAACGAATAGTGTCTTTGAGAATCCATCTACCATGTGTCTAGATACGACGTCCATCAACATACCTCAATCAGTAGCAATGATATTTTGAGTGGCATGCAACCACCCCATATAATTATCATATTTTCTTCCCTCAAATCTCTTGTATACATACAAAATTTGGACTGTGTTGGTGTTAAAGTCTTACAAGAACACTCTCACTACCCAAAAACACATTTCCAGGACAAAACTGTATAGGCACTAAGTCCCAAAACGGATAGTATCTCTAAGAATCCATCTACCATGTGTCTGGATACAACGTCTATCAACAGACTTTAATCAGTAGTAATGATGTTGTGAGTGGCATGCAACCGCCCCATATAAGGGGCTTTTTTTGTTTTTTTTTTTTTTTGGCGGGGGGTTTAAAATGGGTGGGTGGTTGTGAAATGCAATGGAGAAGTGTGGTGGTGGGTTGATACAAGTTGCAATCGGGGTTGCCAAATTAGAAAGCAAAGCCAATGGAGAAGAAATTGTCAAATATAAGAGAGTAATGGCTAGAGTTGACTTCCTCGAACTAAATTTTATGTTAAACAGTCTGCGGCTTTGGTTCAACAGTTTGATTTGGCTACCACTCGCAATGATCTTGTCACCCATGTGTTTGCTTATTTGGTTCATATTATAATAATACCGTAACGTTCCCATTTATAAAATGACAAAATTTCATAACAATTTGGCCTATGAAATTATGTAGAGAATTTTCTAATGATACAACTCAGAACATCTTATCTGGCTAATTAGTAACTAGAATTTTGGAAAACCCTTATCTGTCAAACTTGGAAATGCCAGCTTTTAAGGTCAAAGGGAATCCCCCACATCATGGATCTAATACTAGTAGATTCCACCTTATTTTTTTATCAACTTGAAGCCATTATTCAAAACACTCAGTTGCAGTATTGCTTTAGTTGATCTACCAATTCTAAACGGTCAACTACAAAATCGTAATTTGCTTGTCTTTCTGTTTCCACTACATGAAAGAACAAAATATGATAAATGAATCCCAAGAGATTAGTTTGGCGATCAAGGAGGTTTGCTCTCTTTTTTGAGTTCAGGGTTCAAAACTTTGAGTCACCTATCATTCCACAATAACATTGTGGTTTACCTGGTCCTTTGGGTTTGTATGATGTTCAATGGACTCAGGGATTAATTTAAGGTACGTGCAAACTGACTTGGATACCCCGGTCACCAAAAATAAAAAGCAAAAAATGATAAATGAGGTTTATAATAAATCACAATTTCTTTCACATACTACTAAAAGAATATCAGTTTTAGTTTCAAGGTATAAAGCCAAAAGCAAATCCGAGTAGGTAATAGTTCCAAAACATTGAACCATTCGGATCATAATCTCAAAAAGGACAATATCTACTTGGCTGAATCCAAAATTTGACAATTGCTTTATCCACATACAAACTTAACATATCTAAAATCCAAAAGCTATTAAATTTGACTGAACCAAAGGGGTGGCCAACTTCTCAAGAGTGTCTTCAAGTAGACATTGTACTCTTTATAGTAATGAATGCTTCATCTACTTCCATGGACAAGAAGGACAAGGAGTGAATGGAGAAGCTCGTAATGGCTTCAAATTTTCCCCAACACTCAGACCAAACCAGGAGTGGGTCAACTCTTCATGAGTAGTTGTTCTCTAGTTCCTGAATCTTATACCCACTTCATCAGAGCTATAATTGAGGAACTCCGTTAATTAAAATAATCTGAAACATATAATAACTCTTCTTTTGTGTTTGGTTAGGCAAGAAAATTAATAAAATTTGATTTGGGGTGGCAGCACTAATGACTAATTAACCTAGCTTTGTCATCTTTTCAAATGAAAGAATTATAGAATTAATATCTTCAAGCATGACTTGCCCCTTTACTTGAAGACATTATGTTACCACTAATTTTGAGATTGTTGAAGAAGCTAGAGTTTAATTAATTGTGTCAAAATTTTCTTTTAGGTGATTGAGACAAGCACCAAGTTATAATAACTTTTTTATGGGTAATTGGATTTGGTATAAAGCAGTAATTTTTATTTTATTTTATTTTTTCTTCATCTTTTAAAAGGCATGCAAACCCTTAACAATTAAGTAAGAAAGTATGATCAAACTTATCCAAAGTAATAATCTTAAGGAAAATGACTGGAAGTATGAACCCAATTCAGAAATTTATATGAATAATAGATGGAATAGATATTAAATCAAGTATTAAAGGGGTAGCCCAGTGGTAAGGGCGAACTAAAGGGGGTTACAAATGGGTAGAATCCACAGTCTCAAGTTCGATTTGCTCATGATATATCTGAACCGCCATGACAGTGGATTGTTTTAAGATAACTCTCCGTGAGAATTAGTATAAGTGTGCGTAAGCTCTCTCGGACAATTATTAAAAAAAAAAGTGTTAAAAATTTAGGAAAAAGATAAAGGGTTGTTTGCAGGGACATTGATTTTGGCTCATGGGTGATGATATCTCCTAATGACACTAGCCTTAATTGCTTTAATTATAATGTTGAAAATAAAAATAAAAAAATTCCTTAATCATATGATCAAATTGAGGTGCTTTAATTGACTAGATTTAGAAATGGGTGGGGGGGGGTTTATAATTAATAATTAATGTAAACAAATAGTACTTGGTTCTTGAAACAATTCTTATTCCTTAATCATAAGGGTCTCACTGAATCCCTACTAACTTTAGACAGAAAGCCAAAGAGAATTCAGTTCAAATGATGACACAATTAGGGCAGAACAAAACACCATAATAATAATAAATTAATGTAAAATTATGAAAGGGTCCACATGATTTATCTTCTCCAACAACTTTGAATGGTCATTGAGTAATGAAAGAAGAGCATTTTTTATTTGCATTATTATTTATGTGTTCCAAAGCAATTGCCTTCCCTTAGTGAAAGATGATGTGAAGTTCGTCTAAGTATAAGTTGCTTCAATCTGTTTCTCATTATTGCATTAATTTTTCTTGGTTTTGCCTTCAGGGCATCCAAAATATCCAATCTTATCCTCTTATCCTCTTTCTTTCTTTTTTTTTTTTTTTTTTTTGGTTCGTTCGTTGAAGGCTTGACAGGCATCATGTGAATTTTTCTCACTTTTTTTACATCCTTTTCCCTTCAAAGTGCTTCTGCACCTAAATTTCCCCTTCTACTGTGACTGTAGTGGACTTTGCAGAAAGTTGAAAGCCTATTGGTTATCATCAAAGTAAAAGTTGATAGTAACCTATGATAAAAGGGAATTGAAATTATAAAAAGCTGTAGTTATAGATGATTTACATATTCGACCTGTTTTGCTGCTACAAATTTCTTTCAACTTTAACTTTGAGTAACTGGTTTAGGAAAGAAAAAAAAAAAAGTCTGCAAAAACTATGAACATGTGCAAAAACCAGAAGTGGGAATCTGTTGCTTGAAAGAGGCATCAAAATGGACATTATAGGCATTAATGAAGAAGTCTATACAATCTTAAATCACTTAAAAGAAGGAGGGGAGACCCCACAAAGCAAGAGCAGTTTGTTCAAAGCCAAGTGGCCAACTTTGATGGAGAAGTTTTTAATTATATTGGGTATGATGTGCAAAGAAAAAGAGAAAGAGGAAAATGCAAATAATATAAAAATACAGTATAAGAATGGTAGTTATCAAGAACATAACAAGATGGGATACTTTGCATTATGAGATTAGGAAGTCATATCAAGATTTATAAGTTTGAGGGCCTCAATGATGCTTAACAAGTGGAAACTGTTCTGGGTAGGAGACAATCTCTTTCTCTTTTGTGAATAGGACATTGGAGAACATTTTTTCTTGTTTATTATCACATGGTGTAATATTTAACATTATTTGGACATGTGGGTCTTCATTTCGTGCAAAACTTTCAACAAAAATTGATCCTCACCCGAATCATACCCAGCAAAAAATATTAATAAACAATCAAGATAATAGAATAATAAGACTGAAAATGATAAAAAAAATCCACTAGAGATACTGAATAAGAGATAGGGACAACTTGAAACCTTTATCTATTAAATCCATCTCCCCATTTCATTCATGATTTTTTTTTTTTTTGTTTACTTTTAGGCTGTTTTTTGATCCAATACAATTATGGAATTATAAACTAATCAAAGTTGCTTTTAATTTACCACTCTATGCAGAAAATTCACATAACCAATCCATCCGCAAGAAAGGCGTCCAATTCATTCATATACTACAAGATGATAGAATCTGAATTAAATAAGAAAAAGGAATCATACCCAAATTTGCTCAAGGTGCAAATGCTAAACTGCCAGCACAATATAGCAGTAAAATATTTTTCTATATGATCATCACTACTATATCTTCTGTGACATTAATATTCTCGCGTGGCCAAGTGCACAATGACACAAGATAAGTAAGCGTCGTAAAGTTCATGTGTGCATGTTAGAGTGAGTTGATATAATAGAAATATTCAACATGGAGAGATATCTTCCAAATTAGACTCGGGAGTATCAAAATGTTGCCAACATGTTGTTAGAGAAAGAACGGTCATAAAACAAAAATATGCTCCACCCTTGTGCTTTGTCATGTGATAGTGTCATGCATGAAGGAGAAAAAAAAAAATATGCTCATATTGGATGCCACGCCAGCTATTGGACAAGGAATATAAATTTTATATAACAAACAATTAGTCTATGGTCAATGGTATATCAAAGACTTCTAAGTAATCTGAAGACTAACATTAAGGCATCAAACCCACCAAAATAGAATAAATTTCAGTGCCTTATATATGCATATTGTTATTCAAATTCAAGAATTTATGGAAAATCCAATAGCCTAATCAAGTATGGCATTATTGAACACCCTACTTTTATCACTAGTTGGTTTCCCATTCAATAAAAGATTCTTGACCTTGAGTATGGCAAACTATTTCAATTTGAGATTCTCAAAAGTCTGCTAAATTTATGTGGAACATGCATTCACTATATGAAGTGGATCTGGTTTTGTATAGTTCATAAGGAAGCTCTGACTCAAATTTTAATCAAGCCCAAGAAGAAATTGATACCGGATCTAGATCAAAAATTCATTCATTACTAGTCCATTTCATGTTAGTGCATCTCAATTTAAAATCCAAAAGCAGCAACAGGACTGGGCCTTTTCTGACTACGTTTTCAAATTCTTAACCCAAAATGCTTAAGCCTTGCAACTCTAACATGCTAGAAGGCTAGAAGGTTTATAGAAACCAATCTCTAATGTTACTTCGCTCTTCCTTCAGCTAGACAGTTTTAGATACTTCAAATTCTTCCTCATAAAACTATGGTACCAATTAGATTCTCCTAGATTAAGCTAGGCAAAAATGACAGCAATACTTCTCTATCAATAAAGATCACCAATTATCAGAGAACCACATATTCACACTGCATATCCTTTATTAGAAATTACATAACATTGTTAAATCAACAATATGCAAAACTGCCAACGGTTTTAGGTGGAAATAGTGTTCTTTTGAGTGCCAAATGGAGCCCTTATAGATCCAACTAGAGGTGTCAAATGGACCCATTTGACCGGTTACAATATGAACATGTTATTCAAGAGAAAACTTACAAAGTGAGAACACAAAAGGAGCATGTAGATGGCGGTGGCGCTAGAGCTGGTGCTGATGCTGGTGCTGCTCACTCTTGCCATGTGCAAACAATGTCCTCCAGAGCTGGTCTGATATCCTGTTTCAACATCATTTGGTATTCCATAGTATCACCACCGGACTTCTTAATCTCTACCAAATGAAATGATGGACTTGCCTCAAATATTTCCACATCAATGGACAATATCCCCATTCTACCTTTTTGTGATCTCTCTAATTTCAAGAGTCCTCCATCCTTCTTCTTTACCTTAAGCCTCAAATCCGTGGCGATGTCCTCCAGTTTAGATATGATAGCAGAGGCAGAATGCATGGATGTGAATTTTACTTCTTCCTTTTGGTCATTTCCAACAAATAAGCCAGATAAATCAAAACCAGTTGAAAGTGAGATGATATGAAAAGCATTCAAATTAGCAGGTTTGTCTGGCTCTTTCTGTGCTTGAAGAGGATCAATATTTTTGGTAGAATCAGAAGCTGCAACATCATCTAGAGGAAACAGTTCCTTAACTTCTGTTTTGTTTTTAGGAGGTTTTGATACTAGTCCTTTTCTAAACCAAGGATTTTCCATTATTTCTGCAATGGAAATCCGAGTCTTTGGGTTAGGATCTAGGATTCTTGACAGCAGTCTGCGTGCTTGAGATGAAAAACAACTCGGAAACTTATACTCTGCCTTGGCTATTTTTCTGTAAAGGGCCATTAGATTTGAATCGTCGAATGGGAGATAACCAGCTAGTAGGACATATAATATCACCCCGCAAGACCAGATATCAGCTTTGATTCCATCATAGCCTTTTCTACAGATCACTTCAGGAGCTACATAGGCAGGGGTTCCGCAGGTTGTGTGAAGTAATCCGTCTTGACGCTTAGATTCAGCTAGTGCACTCAACCCAAAATCTGAAACCTTTAGAATTCCATTGTCATCCAGCAGTAAATTTTCTGGTTTTAAATCACGGTGGTAAACACCTCTGCTGTGACAAAAATCAACAGAACTGATTAACTGTTGAAAATACTTCCTTGCCTCATCTTCCCTCAGCCTTCCTTTAGCTACCTTGCTGAAGAGCTCACCGCCTTTGGCATATTCCATGACAAAGTAAATCTTGGTTTTGCTGGCCATTACCTCATAAAGCTGCATGACATTTGGATGTTGAACCAGTTTCATAATAGATACTTCTCGCTTAGTTTGTTCAATCATCCCTACTTTCAGAACCTTCTCTTTGTCAATTGCTTTAATGGCCACACTCTGACCAGTGTTAAGATTCCTCCCATAGTACACCTTACCAAAGTTTCCTTGGCCTAACAATCTCCCCACCTCAAACTTTTCCCTCAACACCTTCATTTTTACTTTTCAACTTTAATAATGAATTGATTCCTAGAACACTATTTCTATTATGAATCTCCTGCTCATGTAATCAGTTGTTATACAATGTGCAGCAGTCTTCAGAGTAGAACTCAGCCGTCATCGCAAAAGTTGTCCTTCAGCACAACAGAAGTTCCATGTGAGGTTACATCGTCTGTTGGGACCCAGAGGTCAAATGTGCTCTGTTTTAAGCATACAAACCCATCACAGATGAATAAGGGTAACTCCAAAGATGGAACCTCGTACGGTTGTGAAAAGAATTTGTCAGCAGTCAAGCACATCTTTCTGCATTCCCTGGGATTGTACTTTGATCCTACATGAAAATGATGAAGAACAAAGCAGGACAGGGACTATATCAGCAAGCATATAATAGAAAAATCTTATTAAACAAATAATGTAATCCAATTCATGCTTGTAAGGTGCAAATGAATATGGGCATTATCACCTAGAATAAACAATGATAAAGGATAGACACTGCCAATCACTGGCATGCCAAATCCAAAAAAGCGCACTGGAAGCTTGCGGCACCATTTGCCAACCAACCATAAAAATATTGCATCACAAGGCTCATTTATAAAATCAGATTTAGTTTTTCTATAAACCTGAAAAACAATAAGAAATGCTCAAATGCAAAACACATTCAGACATAAAAGAACTCTTTAAACAATACATAGGCCATTTCTATAAAAGAAAAGAACAGATGCTCAATGATCTCTCAAAATTAACACATGTACTGATGTACATATGGGCTCCTGAAATTAAGTTTACTGTCAATTCAATTTCAGCCTTTCAGAATCTTTCTTCCTAAATCTGAAACCTTTACATACTCAGCCACCCCTTGAGATAATGTACATATATCTTGCCTCAACACTGAAAAAGCCCTCTTTCGTTCTATTTATCTACGTTGTTTTAATCCCATTTAACAATAAATCATGGACACAAACACATTCATCTCAAAAGCCATGACCTGAAAAATAATATAAAGATACAAACTTTACAAGATGAGATCAAAAATTACGAAACACAATCCCAGAAACAAAAGTTAAATCACAAGATCAGAACCCAAAACACGGCCACATCTTAAGATAATTAATAGCTTAGATTCATCCATGCAATAAATCCGTACGTGAAAATAATGTAACAAAAGGAACCGGACGAAGAAAGAGTTAGAAAGAAGGGAAAAATTAATACCTTGTGTATCAAAGCATAACGCAGAAGTTTGTCAAGAGATGATGGTATATGTATAGTTGGCTTTATTTAGATGTAGAAGGAGAAAAGTGATCTGTCTGGTTGCTTTTTTGGAGCTTTTTCTGTTGTCATAATGACATGCAAGCTGTACAGTCACTCAGTTTCCACCAATGACGGGTTAGATGAAAGGGTATTTTGGTAATTTTATTATATTTCATTTTCACCCTGATAAAACTTCATTCTATATTTGCATTAAGTATAATTAACCGTAGAAATTGGGTTCGGTTAGACGATACAAATTGGGTTTTTTGTTCCTATAAAAGTAAAGCAATATTTGGTGTCATCTCATAGTCATCACCACATATAATATAATTTTTAGAAAAAACCTTCCCTTAATTGGAACAAATCATGAATCTAGAAACTTTGAATGTGATTATACCCTATATTTCAATATATTCTATCGATGATTCCCAGATATATTTCAGTTTATTGAAGATAAAAAAATCACAAGATTCCCAGCGACCAACTTCAGCAGCTCGCTGGTTTGGCTGCATTATGTCACTTGTCACAGGGCTCGAACAAATCATGAATATTCTTCTAACTTTAGAACTACCAAGATTAAAATATTCATTTTTCTTTTGTTTATTTGGTTTAATATTCATAAATGACTAAAATATGCAAACCAAATCCAATTCACAAACAAAATGGTAGGTTTACAACTTTGATTATTCGACCTAAAACAAGAGATGAACAGAATGAGTGCCTACGACACCTGCACACGCGTTCGACACGCTATGTAATTGGCCGGCGCACCATGATTGACTGGTTGTACATGCGTCTTGCGTAAATAAGTTCTCTAACCTATGAGTAATGCTACACTTACACTATTTTGTAAACATCATGATGTGGCATATGCTACAACCACACAAATTCTATTATAATATTAAAAATTAAAAATAATTAAAAATTTGTGTGATTGTGACATATGCCACATCATGATGTAATGAAAATCGTGTAAAAGAATGATGTAAATGTAGCATTACTCCTAACCTATAAGGGATTAGATTGGTGACTCATGAAGGAAAGATAACCAGAAGAAGGTCAATGATTTGAACTCAAATCCCATTCCAAAGTCCCGAAAAAATGATATGTAAATGAAAAATCAAGAGCCGTAAAAGGAGAGCTAATAATACATGAAACTCAATCTAGCAGAAAATGATTAACCCAATTTCTGGATTTAGTATCTAATATTTTTAGCAACCTCAAAGAAATGAGCAACATTCTCTTCAGGTGTACCTACTTTAATGCCATGGCCTAGATTTAGAATATGTTTCCCTCTGCCTGCCTTCCTCACTGTATCATTTATCCGATTGGTGATGAACTCTTTAGAACCAAAAAGAGCACCAGGATCAACATTTCCTTGAACTGCCACATCAGCTCCCAAACGCCTTCGACCTTCAGCCATGTCAACTGTCCAATCTAAGCTAACCACATCTACACCCGTCAAAGCTAGCCTTTCAAGCAAGCCACCCGATCCACTAGCATAAAGGATTAGAGGTAGATCCGGATGAGTTTGTTTGACAGTGTCTACAATTTGCTTCAAGTATGGCAGACTAAACTCTTCAAAATCTACTGGGCTAAGCTCTGTGGCCCAAGAGTCAAATATTTGAACAGCTTGAGCTCCATTGTCAGCTTGGTACTGTACATACTTTGCCATGGAGGTTGCGAATTTCTGAAGCAATGCATGAAGGACCTGAAGGAGAAACTAGAGTTACTGAAAGTATATTTACTACATGGCCTACACTAGTATGAACTGAAAGTATATTAGTACATGGCCTACACTAAATAAAATAGAGTTACTGAAAGTATATTTACAGTGTAACCAGGCATAAGAAAGTCGAACAAACACTAATATGCTATGATATTGAACCTTGGAAATCCCAGAAAAGGAGAGTTGGTATAGAAGTACCTTGGGTTGAGAGAAAGCTAGTCGTTTTATTTTGCTGAAGTGCTTCGATGAACCACCTTCAACCACATACGATGCCAAGGTGAAAGGAGCCCCAACAAAACCCAGAACAGCTGCTTCATTATTTACCTGGGAAATTAAAAGTACAGTTGAACTTACAAATACTGAATGTATAAACAAAATTTGATACACTGGGACCGTTTCACCTTCTATTAAAGATCAAGATATATATAAAGAACAAATCTGTAGACAAAGATATATAATGATAATGACCATAAACATGAAAATGAACAATACTAGGAAGCCTATCATAGCATACTCACACTATTTTGATTCAGTTAACTTATTGCATTTACTTTCAACTAAATTAAGCCATGATCCCAGCTAATAAACAAAACGAAGGTTAACTTCTTTTTTTTTTAATATGTAATTTTCCAAGTTTTATTCAGGCATTGACTTTATCAAATTTTTTGTTCATTTAATTTAACCTTAAGATGACACAACTTAGAGGCTTTTTTTATAAGAGGAAAAATTTAACAAAATGAGCACAGTTTAATCCAAAACTAAATAAAATGATAAGCACACAAGACATTTGTAAGAGGAACTTGAGAAATTAACATGAAGTCAAACCTCTTCTCGCAAGATTGTCAATGCTTTCCCAACATAAGGAACTGACTCCTTGGGATCAAATTCTCTCACTTGGTCAACGTCAGCATCTGTGCACATAGGATCGAATATTACAGGACCCTTACCTTTCACAATGTCAAAAGGTATATTCATCCCAGAAAGAGGGGTTAAAATGTCTGAGAATAATATGACCTGTCAAAACAATTAAGGCAAAGACATTTAAGAAGAGATATCAGGCAATTAAAACAAAAGTCTACAATTATGTGAAAGATTCCTGTCCAAATAAAAGAACTTGGAAGGCAGATTGTTGACAAGCCCATACTGCATAAAAGTGGTGTTTTACAGATAATATTTCCAAATTTGAAACAACTTCGAACAAAGTGCTAGGCACACAAAATTACAATAGTAAGAATGCATAATAACAAGCTCCAATGATTAAGAATGGCCTTACCCCATCAGGCTTAAAAACATTCCATGGCTGCAGAGAAATTTCTACTACGAGATCAACGTTTTCTGATCGTTCACGAAATGAAGGATACTTCTCACAGATGATTTGGTAACTCTGTCATTAAGGGGAAAACAAAGAAATACTTAATAATGATCCAAATTAAGTGCAATACAAATTCATATCCTTGAAGAAGAGTATCAAAATCAAAGAGGAAAAGAGTTAATCTAAGGAAGCAGGACAGGATGCCTAGAAGTATTAAGAAAATAAAAGATGAAAATAAAGCCCTTTACTTGTATAAAAGAAGCTTCAAAAGTAGTAAAGCAAACAATCTTACAAGCACCAGAAACAAATTTTTATGCATTTATAGTTTCAAACATAAGAAGAATACAAAATCTAATATGCAAAAAAGGTCATATTGATCATATAGGCCACTCATCAATCCAAGTAAGTTCCAATAAGCTCAGTTTCAGAAGCAGTTTTCATTCCTAGTCACACGCATTCAGGTGCAATAAAGATGGTTTTACACTAGTTTTTAAGACCTTATCTTAAAACATTTCAACTGATGTCAATCAATTGCATTGACATTTTCATAAAATTTCTTTTATCTCTTGCTTTTCAACCAAAAACAGTATTAAAGTTTTATATCAAACGAGCCTTAAAATAATTATAAGAAGAACAGGCCCAAAAATGAATTCAGAAGCTGAAAAGTCTATAATTTATAATAACAGTGAAACAGTTGAAGCATAGACCTACTTTCATGTACCTCCCTGCTTGCCGCATAAGCCAGACTGGGGGTCTTTCAACATCCTCTCCTCTCACAGCCTTAAGCAAAAGGGGTTCAGCAACAGATACAGCTTTTGGTTCAACAACAGTCCCTGGATTCCCAATCTTAGTTATAACAGCTTCAAACTCATCATCTCTTAACATTTATGATAATGCTAAATATATAATCCATAAACCCTCTATTTACAATCAACAACAAATCTCCAAAGTAATCAATGCAAAAGCTTTCCCTAACAGATTGAATTCAATTATTAATACCAACTTATGTCATAATCAACACAATCAAGCTGAAAAATGAAGCACAGACTTGACATCACTTTCCGTTCGGAGCAAATTCTCTAACAATTCAATTCAAATTGTAAAATACAAACTTATACTATAATCAACACAAGCTCATCTTAATGTCTAAAACAAACGAGTTTCAAACAAGTAAAATAAACTATCAAATTCAAGATTGCTTTGTGTTTGGCAGCCGAGAAAATGTAGGAAAAACAAGCAAAAATTACCTCCGACGGCGCAGCGGACGAATCGAGATCTAGAATTGAAGGTGGCCGAAGATTTCGTTGGAGAAAGTAAAATGGAAGTCGAAGTGCAAGAGCAAGACATTGTCTGGATTGGCGTTGATTAATTTTTTTTTTTTTTTTAAAGAAAAAATTAGTCCAGTTTCCTACATATGTAAACTGGAAGTTCGTGAACTGCACCTGAAAATTTCCCGAGAGATAGAAAGATAAGGAAAAATGTCCACCTGGCACCCTCTTTTCACACGTCAGCTAACTTTGACTTTGAGTCTTTGACTTGTATTATCCAGTTTTCTTTTTTATTTGATTCATCATCATCAACGGAGAACAAGCTGTCAACATCGTCATCTGAAAAATTGAATTGAATTGAATCCGTTGATCGGTGATCTGAGAAAGTTGTTGAAGCATTTTAGCTGACGGCTTTGGCTTGATGCGGTGGAAAAATGGCTGGTACGATTGCTCAAATAACATGTCATTTATTAGAGCGTTTGTCTCTAATTTTCTTTTTCGAAGAAAGTTTCGAAATTTGAAGCACAGTAAATTCCCAAAAAGAAATTGTATGAAAGGAAAACTTTAGGCCTCATCATTTGTATGTTACTCAATTGCTGTATGTTATATCTTCAAGAATAAAGAATTGTTCTAAACTGAGTAAAAATACTATTAGAAAGGAATACATTTGATTATTGTACAATCAATATCGGGAGGATTGGTAAAAGAAAGAGTGAAAATGAATTACAAAATGGTATCAATAGTAAGTTTCCTTTTCGGAGGAGCTTTCTCTATAATCTGCTTTTGTCTGTCCATGAAAGTAGATCCTCTGTTAGCAAATAATCTCCTCAGATTTATCACTGAAAGCTCATTAAAGTTGGCAACAGCAAGATCAGCCTGGACTAGATCATACCTGCATTTTTCAATAAGGTGGTTTTTATAAACAATCAAATGAATTGATCTATGGTTTATCTGTGTCTACAATGAAGTGTTTGACTACTCACGCGCGATGCGTGCCAATCAGTGCCACAGCCATCATTGTGCAGTTGTGAGCAGCAGTTATCGCTCTAGGATCATCCTCAAATACCACGCATTTGGATGGTTTTCGATCTAGCTGTGAATAATTGCATCAAGCAAGTTAAAGCTATATCGAAAACTACATTATGTATATGAAGATTATGGATGAGCTTTTTCATCTCATTTTAAGTAGCGAATCTCCTTTTCCATGAATGAGCATTTCTAATGGACGTGTCATGTTAAGTGTACAAGACTTGCAGAATATTCATAGCGTTAAACATGGACAATTTCATAACCATGCACAAGAAATACTCAAATCGGTTCAAGCCACAATTCCAGAAGTGCAGTGGCAGGACTGATTGAACCAACTTCTTCATTACTGTAGCTCTGGAGTTGAAATTTCCATGCAAAACGCTGAAGTACAACCTCTAGCACAATTCATTTGACACAATGATTTTATTTTCTATTTCTCTCTTATTTCCTTTCTGTTTTCTTGTTAATGCTACTCATATTGTTCTACAATTTTAAGAACTACACAGCATATTTGAAGGTCATATGCACAAGACTCATATTTTCCACTATGATAATCTAAAATCAATAGATATTCATCAAGCCTTACAAAAGTCGATTGGAAAAAGTATTGTGCGATGTTTCCGAATCAAGTGAGGATTCAATTGGTAAAAGAACTCAAACGCAAACAGAAAAATTTTGTTTGACATGATCTCAAAGGCAAGTTATTATGTATACCTTAACTGCTGCAGAAAGAAATCTATGAGCTATTGACTCCATGCCATCTTCCTCGGACACTATTGCCTGAAAAACCAAAGCCGTAAGCTGAGAGAAATTCCACCTAAATGAGGAGTATGGAGATTGGAGAATATCCAAAATCTTATTATAAACATTTCCTTTAATCAGGCAAAATCACATGGAGTTTCAGTCCAGAGATCTAAATGAACCTTAAGGCCATCAATAAGGGAATGGATAAAACTTCATCACCTGCTCTTCTTTAGTGATTAGAAAATATGCTTATAACATAACCAGTGTGCTCAATTAGCCGAACTTTTAATCCAAAATATGCTTGTTTGATTCAGAAAACCATGGAATTGCCATAAAGAATGATGAAGAAAAATGAAATATGAAGACTGGCAATCAGATCAATTGGTCACATAATAGACTGGGTTGGTCATGATATGTTCAAAATCTAAATCTAAAAAAGGTATATCATTCTTTGGGCCATGTACATATTTATAGAGACGTCACAACTCAAGTTCACTGATTATCACCATAAGTGAAGTAATATAGTGTTCTTGAAAATACCAACCTGGAAATACTTCAAAAGTCCCATCCGTTCAAGGGCTTCAACCATCTTTCTCCGGTCAAGACTTGAAACAACAGCACAAGGGATGCGAGCAGTGGAGACTGCATCTAGCCATTCTAGCAGCCCTTCTATGGGCTCTCTAACCTGAATAAAGAAAATTGTTTGTTTACTTTACATAGCATCTAACAAGCAAATATTGCACCCACAGAACCAATAGAAGCGAGCTCTTACTCTTAGGAGATAATCATAATATACTTGCGAAAGCCTTAACTTCAATCTATCCAGTTCACTTTCTTCTCTAGCCCAGAGCAACACCTGAATATTTTTGGAATGGTAGGAAACAGTTGGCATAAGATAAGAATTGTATGAAAAATAGATGGTAGACACAACGCAGAAGATTAATTATCTTTCTAACTAACACAGAGATAATGAAACTGATTTTCAGAGGTAACGATGAATTCTTTCTTTTCTCTCCTTTATCTAGTATAAGATTTGAATTTTAGTAGTAGGAGACAGAAAAAAGGTGAGCAAATTTTTTCTCCCATAGAAGTACAAGGACAACCAACCTCAGCATAAAACTCAAATGACATAATAACAAGGATTCTATTCTAGCAAAGTTAGACAATTGCTTGATTAACCCTATACATTAGTCCAAATCTAAGCACACACAAAACCAACACCCTGGAACCACACCTCTTGATCACTGAAAATCATATGAAAGATACCCAAATAATAATATGAATGTCAAAGACAGAACTTCATGTCAGGATAGTTTGAATATGAATATTAAGACAACCAAAATCCTAAGAAGAACATAAAATCCAAACCTTATGCAGCACTTGATCAGCACCTGCTTTAAGCATCAGTCTTTGCAAATCACCATCTTTGGGAACTTCTTTTCCTACACAAGAATGAAAATAACAACCTGAATATCCGCACAATGCCAGAAAATTCACCATCACTCTCTTCACGCAAAGAATGCAGGAAGAGTTCAAGTCTTTCTACTTCAAAAACTAATCCATAGTACAGTTTAGACAAAGAAGATACTTCACTGGAGTCTAAGAGTAATTGATTATTACGGGAAAATCAATGTGGTATCCTGTTAACTTGCTTCGTCCCAACATTACAGAAAGAAATCAGGCAACAATCCTAGATGTTATCACAAAATAACTTATAGAGGCTAGGAGATCAGTCAAGCTACACAGTCGTGGTTTCACCATTTCCTCCAGATAGATACAAGCTTAACAAGTTAAACACAATAATAACACATCAAAGGGCCTATGGGGCATAAGCTATGAGGAATTATGCATTCGGGACAAACTAAAACAAAAAACTGAAGGAAATAAAAGCTACGTACCCTCTTCAAAGGCAAGCTGCTTCCATGCATTCAACTTCAAAGCTTGAGTGTCCACCTGAACATGTTATATATACAGTTATATAAGAAACAAGACAAACCATAGAACAGGATTTCAAAGCATGGCTTATAAGTGTCGCAACTAACAATCAATTAGATACATACACATTTTATGTTTACCATTTGACTTGTAAGGTCATTATACTTCCCACTAGAAACATGAACCAAAGAAAATCCACCAAACATAATATAAATCCTTTCAAAAATTAAGCAAAGATAAGAATTTACCACTGCGTCCCAAGAGAAAATGAGCCCATAGGCCTCATCTGGCTTCATGGCATACCGTATCCGTCTCAGAAAACCTTCCTGCAATCTATCATTCAGAAAATCCTATTCACAAAAGGCCAACACTGAGTGTCAATAGATAAAACTCTACTATTAACCAGTAAATATCAACAATAATTAAATATTTACAAACTAATTATGCAAAACCTTTAGTATGAACAGAACTAGTCACTAACCACATCAACTTTTAAAGGTCCATCTTGTCTAAAAGTCTCAAAACCTTCACCATATTCAGCTCCAATAGCCTGAAACAGAAAGCAAATATTAAATATAGAACCAAAACGAATAATAGAAGCAAGAGCAAAATGAACCCAGAAATGAATCAATACCTCTTGCATGAAAACCTTGCTGGGTGTATTAAAAGATCCATTTTCATCGAACCCAAATGCGTTTCTGAGCGCTAGAGGCTTAAATTTCTGAGAAACATACAGAAATAACAATATTAAATTACAATAAATTCCAATAAAAATGCAAACTTTCTCATAATCATAAAAAATGAAAATTGAATAACATACCGATAGCTTGAGCGCGGAAGTGAAAAGAAGGTGAGATTTTTTGAAGCTAAAAGCAGGTTTAAAAGGACTCAACAACGAAGTGCTTCTGATATTGCTGTATGCGGAGTCCATTTAGAGGATAACAGCTTTAAAGAAGAAGAGAAGAGTAAGCTTTTATTTATTAAATTTTAATTTTAATTTAATTTTGTAGTTCTTTTTATTTCCTTAAAAAGTAATAAATTAAAAATGGGGCACGTGTAAGGTTAAGGTATTGTTCGTGGATTACGTAACAGGTTATTTCACTCCACGTGGTCTCACAACTAGCTTAGGTACTACTATAACGACATCGTTTCGATTATTATATTAATATTAAAATGAATCCTTTGACTCTTCTACACATACTACACCTCAATAGACCTATAGTATGTATTAATTACTAAATAGATTCTCCCTTTTCTTTCATATAACACTATATACAATATATATTTATTGGGTTTTTTTTTTTTCAGATAATATTAAGAATATCTCATATAAAAGAATGGTTGTGTCGTATATTCTGAATTATTTACCAAACAGTTAAGTTTTTATTGTGAATTAGTTCTGGATGTAGTACTATAAACAGGTTCGGCTAAAATTTAACATCAAAAGCAGGGTTTGATCTTATTAGTTTTTAGCTTATGGGCAGTTATATGACCAAAGGTTATTGTTATCTTATAAATTGGTTAACTGGTTATGGTCCTTATGGAGTCATTGAAATAGAAGAATGAATAAGAGGCAGCGACTGGAGACAAACAGGAGTGATGTAAGTCACTGAAGATGAACACTAACTCCATGGAAGAATGAATTAGAGGCTGCGTTTCGAGACAAGTTACTGAAGATGAACACCGAAAACAGATATTGCTGATAAGGTGAAATCTATCTCTACTTCTAAACTTCAGAGTGCAAGCATTCTGGTTTGAACTAATTATATAACAATCAAGAACATAAGTATATATGAATATGATTATCAGCGAATTATACAGGATACACTAATCTAATCTATGTGGAGGAACAAAACAAAACATGGACAAAACAGATCCTCCAAATTACAATAAATATGTATTCGCTGAAATGGATCCTAAATTCCTACCACTACTATACAATAGCCAACAAAAGACTTGCCTTTACCATTGCCAAATCAATCAACTTCAACCCATTAACCTCATTCAGAGCTCTCAACAATCCATGATTGAACCATTTCCCTGTTTCATCCAGTGATGTTTTAGTTATTAGTTGGCGGAGAACTGGAGTGTCTATATTATTAACATGAAATTCAGTAATATTGATAAGGAAGATCATTTAGCTTTTAATCTTTAAACAAGATGAATAATCGCATGCACAGGGTGAAAAAAACATACCACTCATAGGTGTTTAAGCCTTCAAATAGTAAGCCATCAGAGTTCTCGTAGGCTTAGCCCTCGTAGATCTGCAAGTCAGAAACAAACAGAAAATCATGCATAGGCTAAGGTAAACACATCTGATTTAGCTGGAAATTTATAGAAAGTAAAATTTATGAACCACAAAGTAACAAACCTTATCAAACATCCAACCCTTGCAGACTCTGCTTCATCAGCCACCTAAATAATCAACCATCTCATTATTTCACTACAGGAAATGTCGAATTGGATGAAAAAAAAAGGCAACATTTCCGTTACAGCAGACAGCAGAAATATAAGAAATCAAGTGTTCAATGAAGGTTAAGCAAATTGGTTTAGTTGGAAGCTAAAAGTGAGCAAAGGTTCAACACTTATCCTGGGAAAATAATCAATAACTGTGTAACGAAGAGAAACTCGATAATGGCAATATCAACAAAAATGGTTGATACAAGTATGCAAATGTGAAAAAAAAAAAAAGCAGATATCTATCCTAATATGTCCACAAGATAAATGCATGATACAAACATCAATGGAACAGCGATCCAGATTATATGACAATACAATAAGAAATATTGGAATGCAAAACAACCAGTACAAAACGATTGAAGCTCCCAACTAGTCATATCTTTATTCGGCAAAAGATTTTCATTTAAACAAGAGACCTCAATGATGTTATTAATTCGTAATTCACAGCACCAAAACCCAGATAGTCCAATTACCACTAGCATATTGGTAACCTCTTCAGCCATAGCCCTCGAATGAGCTGCATCCACCTTTTCAGCTTGATCAAGATACGGTAGCTTCTCCTTCAAAAAGAAGAATAAAAAGCTTATGAGTAATAAAAATTAAGGTATTAACATATGACAATTGGCTCAAACCCATATAAACTTTCTTATAACTGCTACCTCCATTGACATATTCTTCCAAGCCTCAAACCCTTTTCGATCAATATCAATCAATTTCTCCTCCTTGCACATCTTGACAAAGCTTTCCCTAAACAACCCACGAATACAACATAAATTTGTTCATTCCAAAATGCCAAGTAATAATTCATAAATAAATAAATGTTTGCAACAGTTATAAAAGCAGCAACACTTTATTTAGACTGAGAAAGTAACATGTACAATTTATATCAAAATTATAATTGTCTAGATGAATCAAATAAATGAATGTAACGAATTAGAGAACTTACATGAAGAACCGAAAAGGCGATCGAACTTCGTGATCGACAGAGCCCTGTTTCAAAACAGTTGGCTGCTCACAAACGCCTGTGAATCTCTTAACTTCCTTCTTCGTTTCACACTCGTCCGCATCAGCCAATGTAATCGGAACTTGGTGATCACCAGAGCCCTGTTTCAAAACAGTTGGTTTCTCACAAACGTCTCTGAAACTCTTAACTTCCTTCTTCGTTTCACCCTCGTCCGTATCAGATAATGTAATCGGAACTTGGTGATCTCCAGGGCCCTGTTTCAAAACAGTTGGTTTCTCACAAACGCCTCTGAATCTCTTAACTTTCTTCTTCGTTTTACACTCGTGCATACCAGCCAATGCAATCGGAACCAAAACTTCACAACTCTGGCTGCAAAATATCAAAAAAAATCCCACCAAAAATTTATCTAAAAGTGAGTAAAACCTCAACATTAAGCACCGTGTTATTAGTGTATTTAGAGTAAAAGAGTGGTTACCATTTTTGAAAGGCGCTACCATCAGGAGCTCGAGGTAATGCACGAACCCTTTTGCGGGTTCCGAATCCGAATAATGGGTTCTCCATTAAAGGAGCTTTAGAAGCTCTGAACCTTTCTAGCTTCTGTGACAAAAGGGATTTAATTTGTTAATGAGAATAATAAGACGACGAAGATGGGTCATTTTCTTGCTGGGTCTTGCTAACTTGCGCTGATCATATATGTTTCATTAATTATTTTTTAATAATTTTGTTATATTTATTGATATGTGATGATATAAATAATTAGTTCATCATAATTTAATTAAATAATAAAAATTATCAAATTACGGTTGCTAACGTGCGCCATAACATTTGGTTTTTTCGCGGGACAAGTTAAAATGGTGAATAGAATAAATTTAATGGCGGTAACCCAAAAGTTGGTAAGGTAGATGGCGCACAATCAATCTAAATAATGGAGAAACCGTGACAGTCCAACTAGAGACTGCCACGTCGATACTGTTCTGAAAAATCTGTCATAAATAAAGGACGGGGAGAAATGGGTATCTAAAATGGCGAAAATACCCTTGAAGTGACAAGTTGCGTGTTTCACGGGTTTATAACAGTAGCTCTCTGTTCTTTGGAGGGTTTTTTTGGGAATTTACTTCTTTTAATAAAAAGGGCATACAATAAATTGGTAGAAGAAGTAATTGAGATAATTGAAACGACAGGAGGTTCAATCGGATTAAACAGGATCAATTTCTTAGCTTAGATGTGACTGTGAAAAGACAATATTGCCCACACAAAGTTCATAATTTTACAACAAATTTATTAAATTTAGCCATATTTTGTGTATAAAATGCATTGGAGACTAAACATGGTAAATAAGTTTAAGAATAACTCAATCTCAAAAACTAGTTTAAATAAGAAAAAAGTTCAATTATATGTACACATCATAACAGACTATCAAACTAATAAAGTTGAACAAATACAACTTCTAACACTCTCTCTCACGTTTGACATGCATGATCAAAATTGAAACGCATCACTATCTCAAACAAATGTGATTATTCTACTAAGTTAAATTTTTGAAAAATTTATCTAAATAAATTAAATAAACCTCTTTTATAAGAACCAATTCACATATTATTATATGCTCCCAGCAAATATATAAATAAACACCATATAAACATTGGTGAGAAGCTGAGGAAGAAGACAATCTTTCCTCTCACCACTAAAATTTCACACACGATACAATACGATACAATACAATACAATACAATACAAACCAACCCATTATTTAAACAGAGCACTGTGATCACCAAGATCTCAGAACATCAAACTACAAATCACCCATTATCACAACTTCATTTAAAATTTTAGTGTATTAATTATATTGCGTTTAGAGGCTGCATTTTTTTCTTGCTTTGCTTTGTCAAGGGAAGCGAAATATGGATGAACCCAAACTTCCTCCTTTGTGCAAAGAACTGCTTTTGATTGTCATCACAATCATTTATGTCAGGTTTCTTTGGAAACGTTAGATCCTCTCGTAATTCCTGAAGCATTTGACTTAGAGCTACCTTTTGTCTTTCATTATGGCCTTGATCAGTTTGCCTTTTTACCACACATTCTTCCGCCTGATGAGCTTGCTTCCTGCTGAGTATGTCCCTCATTGAAACTGTTGGCCTCAGAACTGGCTTTGGTTCGTCGGTTGCAAAGTTTGGCTTGCTCACTTCACTCAATGGAGAAGAACCCTGTTGATACTCACATGGGTTGAAGATATTGAGCCTGTTTGGACTGTACATTGTTGCCTGTCCCTTCTTGTCATAACCTGGTGCCCATCTTCGAAGTGCCTCCCCCGCTGCGAGTTGCTTTCTGTTTGCGATTTCAACTCGATTGACTGCCTCTTCCAGGACTTGTTTAGAGTGTTTTACTTCTGCGGCTGCATCCTCCATCATCTTTAGGATAGACAATTTAGAAATGTTAGCTTCATCAAGTGGCGGCATGGCATGTACCACTTTCTTTTTAGGCAGAGGAGATTGGTGAGGATCTTCATAGGATGGAGTTATTTTCTCAGGCTCTGGAAGTGAATATCCTGAAGTGTTGTCACCCCTCGATAGAGCCTTAATTTCTGCAAAAGCGAGTGCTTCTGCCGCCTTAGCGGCTTCCTCCATCTTTTTAGCTGCAATCCACCTCATTTCAGCAGTCTTAATACAAACTTTGCTTTGTTCATTCCCCAACATTGCTCTTGAAACTTCGGCCAGTTTCTTAAACTGCTCCCCTTGTGAATTCATTTGAACATTCTCCATTGGAACATTGGTAGTAGTTTTCTTAACCTCTGCAGGAAACTTTGATGTTAGCCTCTCGCGAGTCTTTTCCAGCAAATTTTTCTCTTTCTTCATTCTCTTATTGAGAGATTCAACAGAAGTTTGAATCACCCCAAGATCAGTTATTGTTCTACCCAGGTTTAGTTTTGCTTGCTTCAACTCCATCAAAATTAAATCAGGAGAAGATACAGGACAGGGGCTTGAATTTCCCAGCATTTGCTCATGGTTACTAACATAATTTCTGCGATGTTCTTTGTTAATTTCCTTGATAGCTGGAGTTGAAACTTGTTCATCCGGTGTCGTCATACATTTCATTGCTTCTTTCTGTAGCTGCAGCTTCAACTCTTCAACAATCTTCTTTGTTGTTCCAAGTTCTTCCAGGACATCAAGAGTCTCTAATTCTTTCACAATCAGATCCTTCTCCAACTCTGCCGCCTGCTCCTCCACTTTCTTTATGTCAAACTCTTCAACACCTTGCTGCTTAATTGTCACAGTCCATTCATAATTAGTTAACTGAACAAGAATTTAATGAAGCCAGAATTCTTTTTAAATTTAATTGTAATTAACCTTTCTGGACCACATTGTCACAATAAAATAATTCTGCAAGAGTGCCAGGGAACAAAATAGGAAACTTCAAAACTTTATGCTTATTCATTTTACGCGTGAGTCTCATCTAACATGTACTGAACCCCCCAAAAGATCATTGAATAATCTGGATTTGATCAATTTCAAGTAAAAAGAAAGAACATATATCTAAACTCTACTGTTCAAACATGTGAAAGACGCAAATATACACATAATGGGAGTCATGTGACAAGTACATAATATTACATATCTCAATTCAACAATCCCTCATGTTATGTATTATAATAGTACTTGTACTATTCCTCTAGTCGCATGCTTCTATATTTAAAAAAATAAAGACAGTCGTCTTTCCCTTCACAAATGAGATGACAAGTCATTTTAATCGTCTATGTATTTATGAAGCCATATAAGACAGTCCACGTTTTCATTTATATGAATTTTTCCGGTGCAGATTTGTACAAGAGTTTAACGTTAACTAACCCAAACCAGAACCAGATTAGCAGAGAGATGCGATTATATTTAAGAGGCTAAAAAATTTCACTTTAATAAACTGTACAGTGAAAATTTAGTTAATACAATTACTTACAAATGCTTCTGCGAGCTTATAAAGTGGCGGCCAGGACTCGCTACCGCCGAACCGGGTGACAGCCTCTTTAACAGAACCGAACGGCGGCGAAGTGTCAATCTCAGCTCTCAGACCCACTTTCCTTATCGTCCCTGCAGCACCCACTTCGGAATCAAACCCGAAACTCTCAGCCCCAGAGTCGGGTCTGACTTCCCGGATCCCGGGCGTCCCTGGAACGGGTTCGCGTGCTGCAAAGTCCACAGCTCTCTCTGCCATTCACAGTGAGAAAAAGTTTAACGTGTGTTGAGCTCGAGTAGTGAAATGTTGAACGTGAAATTGCTTTTAAAGAGTATTGGTTTTTAGCTTTACTGCTTTAGAAAGGACGAGACATAATTAAAAGTGAGTGTCTGGACCTTCTCTGTTATGATAGTGTTTTGAGGGGAGAGAAAAGGTGGCAAAGCGAGCTTTTTATTCATTCTGTATTTGTTATTGTGTGGGCGGGTATAGGGGATGATGCTGATGTGGCGGACGAAGGTATGTTGAAGGGTGAGAGGTCAAAGTCAACATGGGTTTGGGGCAATTGTATGCTTACACGTGGTGGATGTATGTGAGATTGGGCTATGTTTATATTGTTGACTGGTCCATTGATTTTGGCCGTTGATTGCGGTTTTATGTAAAGGTGTTGGGAACGGCAGTTGCGGTTATGCTTGACTTTATGGAAAGTTAGAAGGTCTAATCATACACTAAACGACGACGTATAACCCATTTATGATAAAGCCAAATCTTACTTTAGTAATATGCACGATACATAACAAATCTTATACTTGAAAAGGTATTAACTTAAACCAATTCATTAAATTTTAGTGCCATATGAAAATAGACAATTATATAATTAAGATCAAAATTTTAGATTTGAGATAAGACTTATCCCAAGTCATGGGCTCCTATTTTTTAAGTTAACAACTAAAAGTTACAAAATAGTATGGAATAATAGTTATTGGTGACAATTGTATTAAGCGTAACATCTTCTTAATGTTATAAATAGCTCAGAAGATATTATCTGCTTTGACATTGCAGGGTCATTGGGCTTTAAGCCTAAAACACGTTTATTGAGTATAGGTCTATTAGTATTGAAATCACGGCCAAAACACACAACAATGAAAGTAAAAAGGTAACAAAAAAAAGTTGATTTATCATAGTTCTTCCTAATAAAGTAATTACGCCCAGCATTCAAGTAGAACAGTTTTATTAAGTTTTCAGAAATCTGCATAATACAATAATGAAAAGTATTGACAGTTCACTCTTTCTCTCTGTTTCCTAATTCTCACATTAGGTTTTCTACTACTATACTAAGGTAATAATAAACTTAATCACATTGGAGCTAAATTGTTACAGACCCAAATATTTACAAATCAACATCAAGTCCATTTACTAATTGGACTTACCGTGAAGACGGCGCTACCCCCTCAACCCTACCCGCTCATTGGCTAGCGGAACTGTTGTGCACTCATCAAGGATCAGGACACCCGAATGTATCAGTGTTAACTCCGTACAAAGTATAAATCACATCCAACAATTAGTCCTATTTAAACACTCAATTATTCTCATACGAGAACGATGTTTTAATGAATACTCATCTTAATTTTGTAGTTTTGAGGCATTCTCATGGCAATACACAAATACAAAAAGGGGTGTCCAAGGCAAAATTGGCGACAGAGAGGAAAGGGCAAAAAGCAAAGGTAACTTTGATGAAATTGGGGTACATGAAAGAGGATTTATGAACCATAATTCTTTGGTCTCATCATTTCTAGTCATAATTAAACTTAATAATTCAATGACCTAACTAAAGATTGTGCAATACAATATGAATTTGATCAACAATTAACCATTCTAATTTATGATTTTCGTATCATTAATTTCTAAAATTAAGTTTAATTAAAAAGTAATACATATATAATCATAAACGATAATGATTTATTATTATGATTTTCAACAACCATGTCTCAATTATAAGACTATAGATAATCATTTTACTATCTAACAATTAGAATCAATATTTATTGAAGTATCCCAAGAAGAAGGGGACCATATGGGCATTATAAACAAATTTCATTAATTAAATCCATTTGATTTTGCTCTACAATTGTATTTTCATACTATATAGTATAGTCTTACAATTAATCACAACTTAAAATGTTATATGCATTCTCAATTAACTCATGAATTTAATTAAACACCTTCTTCTTACATATATCATTCAGAACTCGTCGCTTGTTAGCGTCCAACGTATGCCATTCACCAATATTTTTTTGTCTTGTCTTTAATTTATAATAAGAATTATCAAGTGCAGACGTGTGTGTGTCTATATATATATTGTTAAAAATTGTATTTGTCTCACATCGCTAATTTAGTGAGATGTTATGGTGTATATATATGTTGTTAGAATTCCTCCTCTTTTGAACTAACTTTTGAGAGTGAGCTCAACCCAAACCCGTTTATCATAGCATCAAGTTATGATGGGAGAGTATTGAGTTGATAGTGTATATATGTGGCTAGACTTCTGGTTCTGTCTCTTTTTTGCATGAGTTCTACAAAACCCGTTTATCATTTTTCTTTTAAAAATTGATTATTATATTCAGAAGCAGAGCTGCTTTCACGCTTGGAAAATGTTTTTCTTAGTTTCCATGTTTCAATTTAAAAACAACACTCTCGACATTTAAATAAATAGTAATTATAAGTATAATAATCTAAAACGTTTTCTTTATTTATGTTGTTTAATTACACAAAATCATTTTAATTTTCATAAAATTAAAGAAAATTATAGTATTTTAAACACACCCCAAAACTTTTTTTTTTTTAATTGTATATTTTATTATCGTTATAATCAATGTAATTAATCCCACTAAAATATAATAACCAAAGAGGCATGTGATTTAAGGCTACAAAATTCCATTAAATCCGCAGTGAAACATGGTCACTAAATTACGTCATACTTAAATGTTTCATTCAAATTAAAACAAACAATTAATTATTTAATTAATACAACAATAAACAATTAAGTACTTCAAAAATCAAAATCATAATAAATAAAGCATATAATTGGATACGATTTCATTCATTAAATTTGACGTAGCTGTAATGGACAGTACTGGGGGGCTATCGGTATAAATTAAGTGCTTTTTGGGACTATTTTTAATTTAAAGTAGTGGGGTCTTGGTTTAGCCATTCAAATTTTATGGGTAGTTGGTCGGTTTGGTGAAAGCCATTATAGAAGATGAAGTTAGTTCAATTTTATGCACAAAATCTTGACTCTCGAGTCCAAACCAAAAGAACATTATTTTTGTGTGAAACTTTGATACTACAATGCTGTATCATGTGTTTTAAGCAAGGTAGTTGGTTTGCTTCCAACCGAAATCCGTTAGTTGGGAGTTAACCTTTTTTTGTTTTCTCCCCTTTTTTGAATTTCTTATAAAAAATTATATGTATTAGATGTTCTATTTGTCTCGTATTGTTAATTTAGTAAACTGTTATGGTGTGTATATGTGATTAGGCCCATCCTCCATTGAGCTCGTTTTTTGGAATGAGTTCTACCAACGCCAAGTGTGAAGGAGGGTGTTAGAAATTTTATTTGTCCCACTCCTTCAAGTGTTAGAAGTTATATTTGTCACAATCCTCCGTTGAGTTAACTTGGTTGTATTTGTTTCACATCGCGTATTTGTCCCACTCATTCCTTGAGTTACATTTTGGGAGTGACTTGATTTCTACCCACGTCGAGCATGAGGGAGGGTTTTAGAAGTTGTATTTGTCCCACATCGTGTATTTGTCCTACTCTTCCGGGTGTTAGAAGTTGTATTTATCCTAGTCATTCCTTAAGCTAGCTCAATTGTATTTATCCGACATCGCATATTTGTCTCACTCCTCCCTTGCGTTAGCTGTTGGGAGTGACTTCTACTAAGTCCTCCATTGAGTTAACATGTTCATCAATACGACTGAATATGAAACCAAAATATGCTTTCACATATATATCGGATTATATCATAAAAAATATGCTATCAATATATGTCGGATTATGATATAATAGTAATAAATCATCAATCAAACAATGAACAATAAGAATAAATATACTTATTGAAAACTACATTGATTGAATATGAAATGAAATCATACTTGAATAATCTACCAGATTATAACAGCATAGTAATTTGAATCAACTTTGTGTTGGCATTAATGAGCCTGAATATGTAGAATTGCCCAATAAAATTGAAAAATCCAAAAGAAAATGAAAGTGGTCCTATGATCATAATCTAAATTCATATAAAATGTATAAATCAAGGGTCCCAACAAGCCCCAGGACAAGTTCTCATTTATGTTGCCTTCCTCGGCCTCCTGCTAACCATGTTTCTTCACTTTCTCAACTGTATTTCTATCATACTCATCAATGGCTCTGATTCACAACCCCACATCCAATGGTTTATATTTTTTTAACTGTAGTTTTTTTTGGTCCTGAGATTTAGTCAAAGAACAGTGACATCTAGTAGTATATGATAGTAACATCTGGGTCCTTATTAGAATATTAGTTCATTATAAGAAAATAAAATGTAACAAAATAGTTGTCAACGAGTGTCGGGTAAGAATCTAAGGCTCTGCTTAGGAGTTTCATGGTAGCGGTTATGAAGGTAAACCACCGTAACGATTTTGAGAGTGAACCATTGTAGCGGTTTTTAAAACATCCAACCTGTGCTGGGGAGTTTATCTTCCAACGGTTTAGACAATTTTTTAAAATGATAAATTTACATATATGCTTATAAAAATACCCAACTTCAACCAATTCTTGGGAGTTTTGTTTTTTCAATTACAAGGTAAGGGTTCTTTATTTGTTTTCTACTTATTAGTATTTTATAACTTCAAATGTGATAACGTCTCCTTATCATTCTTCACCATTCTTTGTAGTATCTAGAATGATTAAAAAATTATAGCTCCACTTCTCCAAAAAAGCATTTAGAAATGAGATTTTAATAATTTTTTTTTTTTTTTTATGATTGCTTAAAATTATTTTATATTTAATATGGTTGGAGACTTGCATAATATGGTTAATTTTTTTTTTTAGATATAATTGGGAATTTGGGACAGTTTTGTAGTGGATATGGTATTTGTGGAATAAAATTTTAAAACCAACTAAAACATCGATCTAGGATGTTTTATAAACCCCTCGAAAATACACTATACTGGTTCTTGGGGGGGGGGGGGGGGGGGGGGGGGGGGGGGGGGTGGGGGGGGGGGGGGGGGGGTGGTGTTTAAGCCCATCAAAACCAATGCATAAAAAATCTAGCAGTAATAGTTTTAGAACACCTCAAAACCAGTGGAAAAAAACTCTCAAGCATACCCTATGTTGCTTTGCTAAATGTGGGGGACCAATGTATTTAATTCTTAGTCGACCTCTTCCATATTAATTTCCCTCCATCATTTGGCAGCCACATATACATTTATATTTATATAATTTGGGGGGTCTAATTAAAATAACTTAATAAATTAATCCCCTGGAGGAGTACTAGTACTAGTATTCATCTCAGTCCCCTTCTTCATCTATATTCTGTACTCCTCCTGCTTCATCTTCGGATCTTCAACCTTCATCAGATCTTCCAAAATGCTGACTGGCAGCCATGACAAGAGTCTCCAAATCAAACAAAACGACAAGTTTTTCTCCAGGATTATGTCCAAAGAAACCTCCATGGCCAACTCGTCTTCCCGGATTTACTACAGAGGAGCTTCCGGTTCTGTTCCATTCATGTGGGAGTCTCAGCCCGGCACTCCCAAACATCAGTTCAGCGACACCGCTCTCCCGCCGCTCACTCCTCCGCCTTCTTATCAGTCAAACTCCAACTCAAAATCAAAAACCCTTCACAAAGACACCAACAAGCCGAAGCTTTTGAACGCAATCTTCCCCTCCAGGTTCACCAAGAAGAACCACGCCTCACCTAATTCGTCATCTTCTTGGTCATGCGCGTCATCGTCTTCTTCCTCCTCTTCTTCCTCGTGGTCGTCTTCAAGATCAACGAACTCCAAGTTTCAGAGAAGATACTTTTCATGTTCGTCAAGAACACGCATACATTACAACATGGACGACGATGAAGATCATCAAAGTGCAGGCCATGGCCATAGCCACGGATCCCCTATTTCTACATTGTGTTTTGGTGGTACTAAAGCTAAGAGTTTTAATGGCGGTCCAGGGTGCTACTCTCTAGTGAATATGAAGAATGCTTTCTTCTCCATTGCAGGCAGCCATGGATCAAATAAGCAAGGTACTGCTTGATTAATTAGTGAGAGATTATATAAAAACAGTATTGTGTTTAATAATTTTGTTTTTGGTTTGCTTTATAATTTTGGTATTCTATAGTTTGTAGAACAACTTGTTCAACACCAAATTTCATGATATTTTTTTAGAACAAAGTTGTTTAATTTTCTAATATGTAATTAAGTAATGGGGATTTTCAGTTTGTGTTTGTATGAGAATTCCATAATATAATATAATATTAGAGAAAATCATTAAATAATTACTTAATTATAAATATGTGGTACATATCATGATTTACGAATATAAAGTTTGTCTTTTTCAAGGAAATTAATTAATATTAGAAGAAAAAAATATTAATTAATGGAGTAATAATCGAGTTTGGTGGTTGTTAGTTGTATCCATTAAATTAATACAACGACCCCCCACTTAATTAGTTATTTGTGAGGGAAGATAAGTAAGTTGATCAAATCGGTTCATTAATTAATTTAATTACTATTAATTAACATAAAAATAATTTTTGGCTTCACTTAATGCTCACAACTCACAACAAGATAAGATGTTTGTTATATAAAATTTAGCAAATGAGATGACAAAGGCAGCATGTGCAGGCATTAATTTTCGCATTAAAATTGAAGAAATCCTGAGTGACATTGGCTTATTTGGTGCCCTTTTATTAAATGCCTCATCTGTACGTGTACTGTATTTCATGTTCATTTCCCTCGACCTCCAGGTATCTTATGATATAATGATCTTCAACTCTACTTCACACGTGTGCGCGCGCACGCACACATCAATCACATATGTTTGTACCACCAATAATTTATGTCATCGCTTACATATCTAAATCAAGTTATATGACGTAATAAGTCTCATTCTCCTACCCTTTTCCGGAAATTGATGATTATTCATAACTATTATTTTAACATAAAAAAAGAATTCGACTTAATATTTTATTTCTATTTATTTACGTAAATATTAAAGGAAGTGACTTTTAACTCCAATCTAATTGATTTTCACCTTCCATGACTAAGTATACCTTTTCTATAAGCGAAAAAAAAAAAAAAAATCTCGTTAAACCCCATTTATTACAAAAAATAACCCTCTAAGCTTAACTAGGTTTATTTTCTCTCAATTTCAAACTTCATTAGGTTTTGCTTTACAATTTTTTTCCCCTAATTTTTTAATTTCAACTTATCTTCTGTTCTTCATATTCAGATTCGAATTCATCTGCGTTATTTTTTCTATAATTTTAGTATTATATTTTCATCAAACAAACAAATATTTAAAACAAAACAAAAAGTTCTATGATTATAAAAATTTAGGATTAGGATATGAGAATTTAAGGTTAGAGTTTATGTAAGATTAAATATTAAAAATAAAAATATAATATTAAACACGAGTGTATTTAAAAATTATAATATTATTTGTAGTAATTTAAATTAGGGTTATATATGTCAAATTAAAAAAATAAATTTAGAAATGACGGGTGAAGATCAATTAGGTGGAGGCTAAAACTCCCTTCCCATTAACTTACGCTTTGCATAGAACGGTTACGTTATAGTAATATGAAATATAAATAAAATGACAAAAACAACTTGGGTTGGGGCATTTTCGTCATTATATAAGTTATCTGAGCCGAACAACACGAGCTAATGGGCCTTTTAATTTTTTAATTTGAAGTCCAGCAAGCATTTACGTATCGCAAATATGATTCTAAAGGCACTATAAAATGTCTAAGTACACCCACACACCTTCACGCGCCACAGTTTTCAAAAGTAAAATAGTAATAAATTCTCTTCGTAAATTAATTTAATTACCCACAAAAAGAATAAAAAGAAAAAATATAAGATTGACATATTAATTTTCAAAGGATTTAGATATTATAAGTTTTTTTTTTTTTTTTTTTTTTTTTTTTTCATATTGTAGAGTGTTTGAATGAAATTCATTATACCCACAAGTCAAACTTTTTATATCATAGAAAGTCAACACAAAATTTTGGCTAAAAGTAAATGCAATCCTAATTAAAACTATGATCAAAACAACAACAGTGGCCAGTTTTAGTTGTACAGTGGCTGCCCAATTTGACTCACCAGAGATCACTCACCATCACACCAACCTCAAACCGAAGAAATGGGAAAGAGAGAAACAAAGATTCAAAACGTTTGAACAAAGAAATCCCATGCGACATTGATAAATACAGTTAGGCCACTGCAATCAGTTGATAATCATTTACTTACTTACAGCTACAGGTTTTTTCTGATATGAGTACACCATATTATTTTGACCGAATTATATAGAGATTTGGAAACGAATGTTTGTTTGGTAATAAAGAGTTGAAAATGTGTGATACGTCTTGGATCCAAAGACTCAGGGGAGTTTTGTTTTTGAACACCATTTTAGGGTTTTATAGAAAGGTCAATTTAGTTCTTGACTGCATGCATGTTACAAATTAATGGAGGATCCAAGTGGGTTCTAGGTCTGGGTGCAGTAAAGAAAGAAGGAGAGAGAGAGAGAGTGAATGAAAGGGAGAGAAAGTTAGGTTGGGGATGAGAGAACAACGGGGCGACCTGTTAGCCTTAAGATACGGGTCAAACAAGAATGGATGGTGCCATTTCCTTACAATCTAAGCAAATTCAATTTATATATTAATTATTCTACGAAATTTGTTAATTTAATTCTCTCCAAATTAGCACTTCCTTTTCAATTCCCTCCCTTTCATCACCCACCTTGACATAACACTTTAAAAACGACAAGCAAAAACGCTTTTGATTCTCTTCTAAAATCATCTCCCCATGTAGAATTTAATACAAATTTTTAGTTTAATTCTAACTGTTATATGCAGGCTGTATATATTGAAAGCTTGATCGAGTAGTACTTCAATGGAGAAATTAAGATAAAGCATGCATGTGTGGCACACAAATCGAAAGACATTGGGGTTGCTCTCTAGTTGATTAATTATATATTTAATAACGCAAGAGATGAGATAAGCTGTTGACAACATTAGTTAATAAGCTAATTATTAATCACTAATTAGGTAATCTATAGAGAAGCAATCAAATATTCAGGTAATTGACACAAAATACACTTTTTTGGAACAACTTTGGATTGGATTGGATTGCCATGCTTTCTACTAATGAAAACAAATTGTAGGTGAGATGTCTTAAATATGATCATATGTGAGTATGGATCCCTCTCAAAGGATGAATTCCATTTATGTTGAGGGTGTTCAATCTTTTTCTATGAACATCAATGAAAATATAGTACAAATATTTAAAGCTTGCTCAAGTTCTGTAATCAATTCAAGTTTCGTCACCATGATCCATCAGTCCACCACGTACCCCATAAAGGTACTGTTTTGAGAGTTGGGTTAATTGGTTAATCAGATCTTCAATTGGTTTAGGGTTTTCGTTTTGGTCTTAGCGATCTTCAAAGAATGGTTGCGGATTCTACACGGAGAGTGAGGGAGGTGTTTAAGATTAATTAAGTTTGAAATATTTTTTTATTCAGAAACTGTTTCCCAGATACGATCTTTCAGACGATTGAAGATGGGGTTTTTGATTTTGACAAGAAACTAACATTTGTTTGCTGGCTGGCCCTATCAAACCACAATCTTATATATATAAAATCTCATCACTTTATATAGTTTGGGGTTTCAAATCAAAAACATCTTCAGAATTTGATTATGAATTAAATAATTTATAATTAAAATTTTAAATAATGAAAGTCCACATTTAGGTCTCTCCTGAGAATGAAGCAAAGACCACATGCAGGGCATGAAAGATCATTAAGCAATCGAAGCAAAACCAGATGGTTTGATTTACAAAGTCAACACATTTAAAGACAGCACACGTGGGCAAGCAGTGATCCAGAGCTGGCATTTATACAACTCAGTATTTACCTCTCTCAATCTTCTCTCTGTCTCTCTCTCAAGTCTCAATCGATCGTCTCCATTGATGCTCTCACTGTGTGTTCTTGTTTCTCTCTTTCTTTTCTCTGCAAGTACTCAATACAAATTCTCTGAAATAATTGATATTTCCTCCTCGTTCATGATCACACCAACTATATTAGTTAATTAGCTTTTAATTTCAGTCTCTCTCTCTCTCTCTATATATATCCCTTTTGTGTCTCTATTATTCTTCTGTATATAATTAATTTCTTCACTGGACCATCCCTTTCTTTGCCGTATATCTTGCCTTTTAAGTACTCTTTTCGCTTCCTTCATTTTCCTTTCTTCTTCTTCTCTTCTCTCTCTCTCTCTCTCTCTCTCTCTTTGAGCAACTCCACTTTCGTTTTTGAGAGCATGCCTGAATGTCCAGAGAAAGGTAAGAAGTAGAAATCTCTCGCTCTCCCTCTCTCTCTTTCTCATAATTAAACTCTTTTTGTTTTTCATATTGTTTGATGGGTACTTAACTAACAAATTACTCTTAAAATTTGTTGTTTTATTATATTATCTATAGGGAGAGATTTGATGAGATAGGAAAGAAGATCAAGAGAGAAGCAGATGCCTCTTCTCATATGGGAAGAAGACACATGTTGGGTCCTCCTGGAACCCTAAATACTATTACACCTTGTGCAGCCTGTAAACTCTTGAGACGTAGATGTGCACAAGAATGTCCTTTTTCTCCCTATTTCTCCCCTCATGAACCCCAAAAGTTTGCTTCTGTTCACAAAGTATTTGGTGCCAGCAACGTCTCCAAGATGCTCATGGTAATTATTAAAGCCCTAATTGATATATTATAGAACTCTTGTTCTTCATTTATAGTACTCATGTATTGTGTTGATGGTTTTGTTGTTTCAGGAGGTGCCGGAGAACCAAAGAGCGGATGCCGCAAATAGTCTTGTTTATGAGGCTAATGTGAGGCTAAGAGACCCAGTATATGGGTGCATGGGTGCAATTTCAGCTTTGCAACAACAAGTTCAATCGTTACAAGTGGAACTCAATGCAGTAAGGGGTGAGATATTGAAATACAAATTTAGAGAAGCTAATATTATACCATCATCTCATGTAACTTTGCTCTCTTCTGGGGCTGTTTCCGTTGCTGCTCCACCAGCACCACAACCACCGTCAGCTCCATCTCCATCTCCACCACCACCTCCACCTCCAGCTCCTTCTCTTCCTTCTACTTCCTGTACTTCTTCCATGTATCCACAACCATCCAATGTTGCAGATTATAGCTCCATTTCAAGTGAAAACGTTTCCTACTTTGGTTAACATATTTCTAGCTTAAGAATTTCTATCCCATTTATTTTTCTATATAACGACAGAACTGGAATAAAACGAGGAAGAGGATACATTATTATTGGATTATTAGCGATTGTTTAGTCTTTGATTGTCTATCACAGTTTATAATTAAAGGTCCATATATATACACATATATGCCTTTAATATACCATTGTTAATTAATATGTTTATTCTCTTCATAATTTCCTACATGATATTAAACATTTCTTGTTTTATAATAATACTGCTCGTCTGCTTCCTCTTTCTATGAATGAATTTTAAAAGAAAACCCTAGAATTTAATATGTCAAGTCATTTCAAAGTCTAGCGTAATTGCACATGCAAGTCTGTGCCATGAATATTGGATATGAACAGTGTTTGAAGTTGTGGTGGAGGAGACAAAAGGTATGATTTTGATCATCCCAATGTACTAAGTCTACCTCATCATCAAACTTCTAAGAAATATTTTGTTTCATATTTGCAAATTCCTCTCACATTATACTATGCATGCAATAAATTAAAACATGTTACTTCTCCATCCTTCTTTTCTTTTCACTTCGACAATATTAACTATACAAACAAATCGTACGTAGATTTATATACAAACTGATTTAAACTTTTTTATTCATTTTCTATCACATCAGTTTGTATAGAAATTTCTATAAGATTTATTTGTACGTCAATGATAAACGGTCATATTCAATTGCGTCAACAATTTATTTATGTCCTCTTATCTCTTACTCTTCCCAGCTGTTTCCAATTATTCTTTTGGGCTGCTGTTTAGTAAAAGCATGAGTATTTTTCGATTAAGTTATGAGTTAATTTCATGCTTGTCTTAATTAAATTTGTCACAAAAAGGTTAACTCATGATTGGATTTTGCTAGTTTATTTAATGAGTAATTTGGTATAAATATAGTGGAAGAATCAAGTTGCTACTTAGTGAAGCTACAGCATAATATATATAAATAGAGTAGTAGATGTGTATGTATTTGTTGGATGGTCAATGGCAGTGCCAGCTATAATATAAAATTAAAAATTTTCTTTTCTGAATGTTGGGGGTTTCCTTGGCGTGTGGATTTCAGCCTAAGCTGAAAGGGGAGAAACAGAGACTTAGATTTGTTAATTTAAACAAGCCAGTTATGGGGAACTTCATTCCATTCGCTATTTTTCTCCATTGTTTTTATTATATTTCTCTTATTATATTAAAATTAAATTGCGATCCGTCTCTCTCATTCATGTTTCCATCTCTGAAATCCCAAGAGCTCGATGTGATTGAATTTGGTCTCATGTCGTGGTTGCTTCAAATATTGGCATCTTACCTCGTCTTTGTACACAACTCCATATATACCATTAATTATAATAAATTATAAAGTCTTACTTCCAGGTTCTCAAACAATTAACAAGAATAAGCTTTACAGTATTCCCTTACGTAAAAGGCTATATTTAACCGACACATCTTTCTTCCTGTTGCATACGTAACTGGTTTTGTCACCATGCCTAAACCTTAATTGGATTTTAAACTCAAACAATCTTTATCTCTTTACCGAGATTATCCACAGTAATTCTCTCTCTCTCTCTCTCTCAAGTTGAACGGCTAAGTTTGAAGGAAACTAAGGTAAAATATATAGTCAGCCGGTTCTTCCATGTAAAATAAATTAACAAGATGTTTGGGCAATCTTGTGCGTTTATCGATTAATCCCTGTAGGTTAGTACAACATCTCACTGCCATAATCACTTACTTAAATATTAGGAACCAGCGGGATTCGAACCTGAAATTGTGCGCCTTAATCATAAGTCTCAATGCTCATCCTACCGCTTGCGCTACGTAAGGGTGGGAACCAACAACTATAGTAATAATAGTCAATTTCTTAATAGAGCTTTAAATGACACATATCGGCAATTCTTTTTTTTTTTTTTTTGTACTGGAGGGTGTCACGGTAGCTTCCGCGTACCTTAACTAGTCTCACAAAACTCTGAAGTTAAATACACATATAGTCAATTTTAATTATAGGATACACTCAAAATACTAAACAAAGTAAAATCTATATCTATCTTAAAAAAAAAAAAAAAAAAAAAAAATCAAAGCCAAAGATAATTTATATCTATTTCAAGCAAGTTATGGGGAACTTCATTCCAATATTCTATATCTCTCTCACATTTTCTCATGATTTTATTACCTTTCTCTTATTATATAATTAACTGAGATCGTCTCTCTCATTCATGCCTCCTTCTAAAATCCTAAAGCTCGATGAGTGGTTTCTTCAAATATCGGCATCTTATTCTACCTCGTCTTTTCACACAACTCCATATATCCCTGGATTAATTATTAACAAAAACATCGCAATTTGCAATATATAGAAATTAATGCGTCAACATTTTCTAATAATTAAAATTTTGGGCACCATTTATATTACTGATTATATATATATATATTAATTAATTATATAATTATATATATAATATATATATAGATATATTATATTGAAGCTAGTGATGAAATATTGTATCGCTACAAAGCTGAGTTATTTTTCCAGTGGATTTTGAGGTTCACTATCTAAGTATTTATTATTCTATTTTCCATGTATATTTATTTAATTATCATTTATAAAAAAATAATGGAAAAAAATTTCATAGATATAAGAATTTACATAAGTAGGAATAAAATCGGTGCATGCAATTGGAGTAGGAGAGTTTTCTTGAGCAATAAAATAATTTACATAAGTAAGATAGGTTATTGAGCTAAAACTGGTTTATAACAATTTCATCCTCAAAGTTTGGGAAAGTAACAAATCCACCCAAATTTGAGAAACGTTAATGGAATTGTTACCGTATAAGACTATAAAAACAAAACGGGGTTTGTTTCTTGTTAGCTAATAGTAGTTGCATTAGCAAAGTATTTTGTTAGCCTGTTTACTATGCCTCGTATATATGCTTTTCTCTTTCCCATTTTGAGGCATTTTAATCCTTCTGTCAACAGACCTGATAATTCATTACTGTGATCCTATTAATCCACATTTTTAACCGGATGAAGATGATTTACTACTCTTGGACACTGTTTTGTGATATCAGTTGCAGAAAATTTGGTTGTAATTAGGCCATGCCTAACCTCTTTTCTCTCCAGCAGGAGTCCTAAATTACTGTTTTAGTGTTTAAATTCATGCTGTCTGGTTAGCTTTGTTTTCCCAAGTTAAAAGAAGAGCAAACGACTTTTTCCCCCCCCAATAATAGCTTATTGACCCTTTCCCACCCCCACGACTTTATAAATACCACTTTTTATCCAAATTTATATTCTGTTTCTGATTCCAGCATCGTTGTGACCTCACACTACCACAATTTTTTTTCTCAATTATCACCACCAAAATCTCTCCGCTTTACTCCCGCTGACCCCGCCAATCGCTGGAAATTAAGTGATTAGAGTTTACACAACCGTCTTTCTTAAGTCAAATTTCAATCAATCTCAACAATCAAAATTCAACCTTCCACCACCGCTTCAATAGCCGCTCGAGTTTGCTTTTGTTATCTCTAAATATAAATTTGGATAATAAATAGTAATTTAAAAGTTTATACTTTGTAGGTGGAAATGTTATTAAACCGTTATTTAGTGGGAAAATCATTAACTCTTAAAAAAAAAGAGGAAGAATCACTATTCACTAGGCAATTGCTCAGTTTAGTTAGTTAAGAGTTGATGCCATATTTTAATAAAATTTCAAGACAATTATTTCTTCGTTTGCTTGTTTTCTGCTCTCGTGAGAGTCGAACTCAAGACCTCCCCTTACTAAACGGGTGCTCTAACCAACTGAGCTACGAAGCTTGTTTGATAAGGTTTAATTTTTTAATATCAAAATTTATTTGTGAATAGAACACAACCCAAATCTAACTGCAAGCCCACGCTAAGCCCAAGCCCAAATATATAGTCATCCACAATCCGATTCATCGTAACACTGTTTCTTTCGTAATGATACACCACAAACATTTAATAAAGAACATCACAAATACGATTTCAAAAGCATACCACATGTACATGTTACCCTTCAACTAAAGAACCAAAATTTCAAATATTTTTTTATTCTTCCTATCTAAACATCAAGATTTCCCTTCTTAGTTCACCCTCCTGCAGTTCTTCCTTATCTCACCTGGGATCCGGTGAGTGTCTGGATGTCTCCCATCTTGATCATGGCAGCAACAAAATCTGAAGTAAGTGCTTGGACTGCTATAGTAGCTTTGCACTATTGAATCCGAGACCCACCATTGAACAATTGTTGGTCAGAGTGAGCAATCCCTTCTTGGCAATCAGGTTCTTGAAATAGCTGTTGTCAAAATACTGTTGGAGTCTGCAGATCAAGTGGCGCCAAATTGTTATCGCCAGTGCCATTGGTTCTGGGACAGTTGGCTTGCCTTGTTTTAGCGAAGGAAGAATCGATGTTTGTCTCGTTGTATATCCGAGGCCTGAATTGTACGCACCTTGATTGCCCGATTGTGTGAGCCCCTGATATCAATTCAATAACGTTACCAATTCGTAATATTACTAGGTCGATAATCACCAGAAGAGTACAATTTAAAAAAAAAAAAAAAAAAAAAAAAAAAAAAAAAAAAAAAAAAGTGAGGGGAGAAATTACCAGAGAGAGCAACGAGGTCCTTGGTGGAGAGTCCAAGATTGCTGAAACTAGAGATGAGGCGGCTAAGGTCAGAAGTTGGAGGGGGAATGCCATTGTTGGCTGCAGATAGGCTTGCAGTTCTGGCATCTCTTCTTCCTAGTTTTACTTCCCAGTTAGGTCCTCCAAGCTACACCAATACAACACAATATGTTAAAATTCTTCAAATTGATGATTACTTTGAAGTTGAGCTTAAATCTATATAGTATATATAACTTACGATAGCAACTGAGTCTCGGGCGGTGATGGCCAAGATATCAGCACATGAGACGACACCAGGGCAAACGTTCTCAACTGCTGACTTGATATTGTCAACCACATCGAAGCCACGGGCAGAGTTGCGATTTGGAACTGCATTTTTCTCTCCTGTGAAGGAAGATGTGTCGTCGAGTAGAAGTGATCCATCGCATCCCTACCATAAAATCAATTGACAA